TTTGTTTTCAGGGGTCAGGTGCTCGTTTACAAAGAATTTCTTAGAATTACCAGCCAAACCAATATCAGACGTTTGAATTCCTCGCCTTTTTCGTAAACCGGACAAAATTTTATCTTTAATGTCGCGAGATCTGAGACGAACAACAATTGTTTTTGGCTTTCCTGGCGTTGATTGCTTCGGCTGTACGCGATTGGCGAATTCAATATCGCCCGGTTGCAATTCCACGTCAGCATGTTTTGCAATTTTTTGTATTAGTGAGCGTGTCGACTCGTTGCTAGTTTGAGGTAAACCTACAACCTCAATATTATTCATTCGGTTCCACTGCTGCTGCTTAGAAATTTGCGATTTTAGTTCACTTACAATGGCATTGCTATTCGAGAGATCATTCCTTAGTATATTTAATTCCTCCCTTAGAGATTTTGTTTCTTCAACGAATGGAATCATGAAGGACTTAATTTCTTCTCTCAATTCCATAATAAGAGAAGCTTTTAGAGTTTCGATCAGCTTATTCTGTATGTGACCCAGTTTAGCGTCGATTGCCTGGTTAATTCCCTCTGCAATTACCTTCTGCAAGTCATCCCTAGACAAGTGCTTGTCGCTTTGTCCTGGATCCTTTTTATGACGCCTCGTGGAGGCTTGTGGATTTTCAGGCGATGCATCAGGGCAGCGCCGTCCTCTACGCATGCAAGGAGGACATATCCAAGTGTCACTTGATTGTTCCACTGTAAGTCCTGTACAGTTACTGTGACAACCTCTAAAGCACTGTATACATTGAATCTGCGTGCTTATGTCTAGGTCCTTGGAGCATGCAATGCATTTGAGCATTTTATCTATTCCTCAAATTTTCCCTTCCTTATTATATAGAAGAAAAAGGAAAATATAAAAATATAAAACAAAAATAAAACCTATATGTGTCGACACTCAGGATCGAACTGGCTTCAGTTAGATTTTACGTTAAGAACTTTTGTACGGAGCCACAACGTTCATGACAAGTGATCTGAATAAATCGTATAGTATGATAAATTTTAGTTGCGTGAATATCAATGACCTGTTTAAATAATATTTAATATTTGTATTTCTAGTCTCGCACTCACTTTGCCACTATTGACCTTGCACTAAATCACTTCATGTATCCACAATATCACTTATTGTAGGTAAATGATCTCACTGCATTCTTGGTGGTATCATGCGTCGCGTATTGTTGACGTGGTCCTAGAAGATCTTATACGCACTTTTTCTGCTTCTTCTGGGGCTGACAATATTTGACAAGGTAGTTCTTCAATAACACAGTTCGATTTTCACAGTTAATTTGGGATTTACCGCTTATATTTATTTTAAACATTAAATTTATGGATACGATTCGTCAACGTGTACGCTACCCTCAACGCGAACTGATTTGACTTTATCATAGATTATGATAAAGTCAAATAAGTCAAATATGCTTTTCCCAAGGGAGGTGTCGATCTATTATTATTCAGGACACTGGCATGGATAATGGTTATAGCACGTGTGGAGTTTTATGACTGGTAGGGTCGTTGGGCGGGAGCGATCTGTTATGCTGAAACACATAAAATTGGTTTTGCTGAGATTTAGACTAAGCAGATTGTTTTGAAGCCAGTTGGAGACGCAATTTATACCTTTCTCTGCTAAGACAGAAACCTGTTCCCAAGTTTTAGCATGAAATATCATAGCTGTATCGTCGGCAAATGAATAAATATTTCCGTTGTCCAGTGGCAGACTGTACAGGTCGTTGATATATATTAAAAAGAGGGTCGGTGCAAGCGCACTGCCCTGTGGTACTCCAAATCTGACGTATTTCTTGTGACTTGTGTATCCCCTAAGGCTAACACGCTGTTGCCTATCCTTAAGGTAGGATGCAAACCATTGCAGAGCCACCCCTCTCACTCCTAACAGTTCCATTCTTCGCAGCAAAATGCAGTGTGAGACCGTGTCGAAGGCTTTTGCGAGGTCTAAGAAGACACCTATACATACCTGCCCCATATCCAATTTCTCGCTTATATGCTCAGTAAGATTACTGACAGCGTCTGCAGTAGATCTTTGTTTTCTGAACCCGAATTGGTAGTAGGAAATGAGCGATTGCTTTTCTAAAAATGAGAGCAGCCTCTTGTTCACTATTCGTTCTAGGATCTTGGCTATGACTGGAAGAAGGAATATTGGTCTGTAATTAGAGACTTCCATTTTGTTTCCTGTCTTCCAGATTGGGGTTACATTGGCTAGCTTCCAAGCTTCAGGAAAGGTGCTGGTCGACATGCTAAGGTTACAAAGGTAGGTTATAGGAGCCGCAAGGATGTTTTTAAGTCTGATTATCAGTTCGCTTCCTATGTTGTCACAACCTCCAGCTGAGTTACCCTTAAGTTTGTTGATAGTTGCACGTATTTCCTCTTCGTCTGTTGGATGTAAGAAAAATGAGTTCGGATTGGATGGCTTATCTATATTTTTTGCTAGCTGTTCCTCAGCCCAGCGATTCTGTAACTCACTTTTCGAACTCACACAGCGGTTTTCGCATCGGCGGTCGCTCTCAAATCAGTCGTGAAGCAGTCATTTTATGATTTGGCATTCTGATAAATAATAAACTACAAGCTCCCACCTTTTCAGAATGCCAAATCATAAAATGACTGCTTCACGACTGATTTGAGAGCGACCGCCGATGCGAAAACCGCTGTGTGAGTTCGAAAAGTGAGTTACAGAATCGCAGGGCTGATGTATGTAAGTATGTGATAGTCCTTTCCGCTAAACTATTGCCTATGTTTGTAAAAAAGTCGTTGGCTTTATTTAGAGCTACCACAGGATCGGGCGTTATTTGAAGTAGGTCAGTGAAATGCAACGCCTTTGAACCTATGTGGCATATACTTTTTACTGACTCCCATAGTTTTTTGGTGTTATGTCTGTTCTGCCTAATCGTGCTTTTTTCGATTTTTCTTTAAGTTTCTTTAGAAGATTGTCGTTTATGTTTCAAATGTTAAATGTTATGGTAAATTATTTTTAATAATAATAATAATAATGGAGTCATTATTATTATCGACCACTGATAAGTCGTTAATTTGCCATGGCAATGGAAGCTGACACTAACACTATTGCTACAACTTTAATAATAAAGTCTATGAAATTACCTACTTCAGTCTAGTCTAGTCGTTAACTTGTAGATCTATTAATATTGGCAAATCAAATAAACCATATAACGTCGTCCTTGAATTATTTCCTTTAATATAGAAAAAAATAAGCCACGCTCGAGAATGTCGATATGACGTTTTACAACTTTGCAGCTCTCCCCTGTCTTTACGTTACTTGCAAATTGTCAGATTAGTGAAATATACACTTCTTAGCATGTAATTAACTCACCCTACCTTAATCTGACGCGCTTGAGAAAGTCTAATGATTATTTTTTTTACTAATCTGATCCTTAATCCTTGACAGGCGGTCATATTTGGTAAAGGTACTTAACCGGGTGCAGGGTATCCTCTTGTATATTAATCTGTCACGCTGTACTAAATCCCGAAATCCCCTCTTGGGCTCCCCTACTATAGCCAACTACGCGCTCTTCAGCACCAAGTTTTGTTGAGAAGCACGACATCCAAAATTAAAGTAGCCATGATAATGGCCAAACTTCGAAAAGGGTTGGGACGTGTGAAATCCCGTTGAACCGAAGTCCGTAAATATATCTGTGCCTGACGCAGGTCGATTTAAAGAATCAAGACATGTCGGTTCCTTACGATGTTGGCTTTCACCGTAGGAGAAAATTAGCACATAGAAATACAAAAACCAGCTCACAGCCGTGGCCTCTTTTTCATTTCTTAAAGTCTCTCAATTTCTACATTTAGAAAACTTTATAACTTTAAAAATGTAATGATAGTTAACTGAAATAATATATGTATTACAAAACATAATGATACTCAAAATCTAGCCAAAGATGGAATTAATAATACAAAAAGGTTCCAACATTTACGAAGATTGTTAAAAATTAAAAACTCTTACACATGAAAGAAAATTCGCTTTTATTATAATAACCACCAACGATCATGTAAAATTTAAAATAACCATTCATACCGTATAATCAATACGGTATGAATGGTTATTTTAAATTTTATGTATTAAGAAATTAATGAATTAATTAAATTAATATTTCTATGTAAAACAACGGTTATAGACCTAACGCCTTGGGGGACATAAGCCGGTCACATTATTTTGTTGTGATGATATTTTTAAATCCGAACAAAAACATTTATTTATTTTTCTTGTCCATTTCAGGAACTAGATATCTATACGTTTATATCTAGCCAGTGACTAACTAAATTATTGTGTGTTCAATATACAAGTGTAAATATTGTGCAATTATTATTATTTATAGTCTATTTCCAATAAAGCCCTTTACATTGGCGTCTTGAGATCTATGCGTGAATTGTCTAAGGTGTAAGACTAGAAGAAGTATTTCGATAATCTGGGGTGGGCACGGATCATACAACAACCCATTTTCCCTTTCGGATTTTGTTTAGGTAAGCTCTGGATATGTAAGTAGGTAGATAAGAATAAAGTACCGACTTATTCTTACTTTTTTGCTATAGACTCTAGTGATTCATGTCTTATCAGTAATTCGAGGCTCTATCAGTTGATATCAATCGTCATCATTGAATTATCAATTCATGTTATGTTATTTTATTTACAAACTAGCTGTGCAACAAACATATTGACAGTGTGTTTTATAAAAACGAATTGAAAGAAACATTTCTCTAAGAAAAGTTACAGTACATTCTACGAAAATTCGGATTACAGTAGACTCTACGAACGTGAGGTCACACAGGAAACGCGGGAAACACGTTAGTTTCAAGGGCGCAGCAGCCTCTGGTAAAGCGCAGATTCGATTCGTTGGCAATTGGCATCACTAAGCCACGGCGAGCTGCTCACAGCGCACGGCCCACTCCCAACGTACACAATGCATTCCACGCGGTCATTTCATAACTAATCTGGTGATTTTTAATTGGAAAATGTTGCCTTTACTCTTAATATGTTTATTCGTGAGTGAAATATCCGGAACGATAAACGATAGCGATATCAGTAGATACGATACTTTGACGCTCAGAAAATGCTGTGAAAAAAATGAAGTGCTGGTAAAAATTACAGAATATGATTTATACTTACTTGACCATTATAAGTGCATGGATAGTGATTATGTAATGGATCTTTATAACGTGTCTGCAATACCTCTTTTGATGAACGAAAGTGTTAGAGTGCAATCTGGTTTACCACTTTTTTGTGATGACATACAAGTCAATCAAATAAACAGTGCTGAAAGAGAGCTTTTTGTGTCAGAAGATAAATGCTATGATATACTAGAGGCCGAAGTTGTAAATGGCACTATAAAAGAAAACATTCCTCAAACTGTAGCTTTAACATGCAATACTACTGAAGAATCTACTAAGAATCTTCCGTCAGAGTTAAAAATTAATGAACTGAAAAAATGCTGTCCCGAAGGGCAAGCATACGATACGGAATACCATGTATGTAGAATAAGCAACATGGAGAGTGATGATGAATGGTTTGTCAAGGCTTTAAATATGACTGGAAATTATATTTACAACGTTGGTATTGGAATGCAATGCAAATTTGACGAATACGCTGTGGAGCTTCCAGAAAGTTTATATTCTTTTTCCATTGATGGGAATAATTTGCAACTGAAAAATAAGGAAGGCGGCCAAGAAAAAACTCTTTTTCAAGGGGAGTGGTGTGTTGAACGCCAATATGCTGGCAAAGGATTGTTAGTACGAACTTGCACACGAAATTGTTCGGGGTTTGAAGCTTACTGTGTCAGGAAATGTTGTCCACAAGGAGAACATTTTAAAGTTCGTCGTTGTGGGAGTTATATTAGTGTCTGTGTGCCAGATGAAGATAACAGTACATTATTTGATTTATCTACATATACGAATCCATTGCGCGAAGACAAAGAAGATTTGTTTGGTAAATATTTTTTGAATAGCGTGATCCGATATTACACGATAAGATCGTTTGTGATTTCTTGCTGCTAGCTGAACAAAAAATCGTTATATACGTATATATATATATATATATATATATATATAAGAATACTACACAATTATAGTTGACAAATATTTCATTATTGATTGCACTGTAGCTTTCAGTAACTTTTGTAATAACAAAAAAGTATAAAATTCTAAATATAATTAATTAGCCAACCTAAGGGGTTCAAATTAAGGTAATGCATAAATGTTATATTAGTTAAAAATTATGCATTTTAATTAATTGATTATTAATGCTTATTAATTAATGTAATAAGCAATGTTAATAATTATTGTGTAATTATTAAAACCCTAAAAATTTATTCGAATATACAAAAGTATTGAAAATAACCTAAAGGTTTAAATTGTCTAAGATAACTAAATTAATCTTAATATTATCTACATTCATACGTTATAGGGCTTATAGAAGCTATCTTCTATATCTATATATCTATATATATGTATATAAAAATGAATTAATGTTCGTTAGTCTCGCTAAAACTCGAAAACGGCTGGACCGATTTGGCTAATTTTGGTCTTGAATTATTTGTGGAAGTCCAGAAAACGTTTAAACAGTGGAAAACATAAATAATAAGTAAAGAAAAATACTAAAAACAACAATTAAATTTTCCAATAAAATCTGTTCCTATTGTGTGTTCCTATGTCTTTTTAGAAATAAAGAAGTGTCACTTGGTTGTCATATATTTAAGTTGCCTTCAGAAATGTGTGTTTCATGGCTGTAGTTTGAGGTTGTCTTTGGTCTGTTTTAAATATTTTATTACGTTTTGACACAAATATATGCAGATAATACGAAGTTCACGAGTTCATTTAGTATATACTCGTACATATATATAATTTTACTGTACGTGTGTATGTCACTGGACTCCTCTTAAACGGCTGGACCGATTTGAATGATTTTTTTTGTATGCGTTTGGGTGGTACTTTCATACTTTGTTTAATATCCTAATCCAACGGCTGTCCGGTCCGCTAGTAATCAATATTTCCGTTGTTCAGTTGATTGACAATGAACCTAGTGGGATAAATGTCATCAAACACTTAAAATTATTATTATGAGATCCTGGAATTCATACTACATATATATTATTTTCTATTCATTAACTTTTTTTCTTTTTGCAATTATCGAAAGAGTGCAAATTAATTGACATTCCTACGATTGTATGAAATGTTAGGTAACTTCAATACTTTTTTACTTTACTTCAATACAACAATACAGTATGAATTTAAAAAATAAAATCTATTCGCAGAGTTTAATGTAGTAAACTATGGGTCGTTCGTAAAATATCGGTATTTTATAAGAATTGTTCTTTATGTTATTAGTTTTAAAAAACAAAGAACTTATATATACAATGTATATGTACTACAAAGAGCTTCAGAGGTTTATCTACTCTATTATCTAAATTTGAAATTTATAATAAAATTAATTAGATAGAGAAAAGTACCAATTTTTTATCTAATTTACTATTATTTTTGTAATGGAAGAAGCCTGGGAACCCTGACACAGGTTTTAATATAAAGGGTTCTAAAATCTTACACATCATAATGCATTGTTGTCAAATGAATTAACACATTTTTTTTCGCTTTTTTTTAAATATATAAATATAATTGTAAATCTCACCGACCTAAATAATCACAATTATCATACACATCTTTTATTGTCTATGAAACAGATCAATTATGTTCTACTATTATATTGAATATGGTCTAATAAAATAATGGCATGATTTTTGTTCAGATGTAATGGGTGTTCGCGTTGGTTTACAATGCCCCGCTGGACGCTTCGCCCTGAACAAGTCTCTGTTCCAAGACGTCCATTACCTTACACCACAGGGGAATTTACAATCGGGCTGGACACTAACTAATAACTATTGCTTGGAAATATTCGACAGCCGCCATTGTCCATCAAAGGAGATTACTATCAGCGGTGTGCTCTGCTTTCAACCCGCTCCTGAAAGTCAACAGGACAAAGACTTTCGTATTTCTTTCGTGGTGAGTTTAAAATGGTACCTATTAGAATATTTTAGGGGTTTCGTTCTTAGGTGTTCAAGTCTAACAAGGCTAATGTTATAATTTATATTATGTTATTATTATAACATATTTATGATAGTAGATAGTGTAATAAGATTGCTTGCTTGCTTGCTCAAAATGTCAAACAATGGTTTCAAACGACACAGGTTCGATTACAAACTAATGAAACAATTTTTTTATCTAGTATATTGCTTTGAGAGTTGTGAGTGGGAACAGGATGAGCAAGTGAACTACATATTTTTTTCTTATCTAAATCCAATCAATCAATATAGATCTTATTAATACAAAATTATTAAACGACGTACATAGTTACGTTACGTTCTGATTAAAGTTTTCATTTGTTATTATGTTCATTATTATGATTTTAGATCATCACAATATCAAGCGTATGTCTGGCATTAACATTAATTGTGTATTGCGCGCTACCCGAGCTGAGGAATCTTAATGGTCTTAACTTGATCTGTCACGTTAGCATGATGCTCCTGGCATTTGCTTGTCTAGCCAGGGTCCAGTATAGTGCAGTCGACGACGTCCAAACTTGTACAATGCTCGGTAAGTGGAAATATTGAACGCAATAAAATAGTAAATGACAGAATAAAGCGATTCGAAGATATGATAATTTATACATTGTGTGTATTATCATATTCATATTATGTTGTTTGAATATTTATTGAATATATTGCGGTAAAAATACAATTTTATTTTTGTATTGTCGAGTTCTAATTAACGAACTCTGTTGCTTAGCGTGCCTATATACGGCTTTGTCATTATACGTTAATAATTTTTAATTTTTATTACCAAGCAATAGAAATGATAAACGAGTATAATGTTCCTCCCAGTCTTATACTTGTTTTGCTGCCGTTCGTATAAATTTGTGTGCCGCCGGAAGACACGGATTCCTTCAGGATTGTAGAGCATCTTGTAGTCCAGTTTAGTTTGTATAGCAGGGAGCGGGAGATCTACATATTGCACTCTCCTTTCTAAATATTCTCCCTGCGGTATTTCCACACTGACCTCTCTCCCTATCTCGTATAAGACAGCGGCTTCTTGAATATGGAGGTTTACAGGAAGTATCCCAGACAGTAGTGATGTTACGTGTAACGACGTCGTCCTTTAAGTTTTTGCGATTTTTGGGCAAAGCCTCTTTAATTTTTTGTGTACACAGATTTTTGAAGTTATACTTCTTTAGGCGCGTTATGAAAAATTTATGAGAGTGAAATTTTACGATGCGCGCGCACCGTGACACAAAATTAGGAGTGTGATTATAGCGTGCGCGAGCGAGATAGGAATAAGACAATCTACAAGTAAAAAGAAATAGAATATGCGTGAAGTTCGTATGCCAAGAATTTTGAATGACCATAATGACATTTGTCATTTACCTTTTAAACAAATAAAGGAGTTTTAATTATTTTTTCAAAGAAATTTAGCAATGCTTTTTGAATTATATATAATCAGAAGTGATTTAAATTGAATATTTAAACCAATACTAATTAATATTTGTGAAAAAACTGTGCTCATCAACCTTCCTAAGTGCTTCATTACAATTGAGGTTAACTATCAGTTTGTATTATTATTATCGAGTAATGTTTTGATTAAAAAAATTACCACATTGTTTAATCAAAACATGTAATTTTTCTCTAGCAAATATAAGGACAAGAGACAAAAAACAATTGATGAATACGTAAGTGCACTAAATTGAATACAAAAAAAGAGTTGTCATCTTATCGCTGTGAAACATCAAAAACTGGAGGTGGAACAAAGCCAAACTATTTTTAATAATGCCAAAGAAGTATAACTTCTTACGCGCGTACATAAGTACACGCACCCTTTTTTTTTTTTATCGCGGCAGCCCACAGCGCAGCCTTGTACATTATGATTGGTACACTAAGGTGTACGTGGTTGCTATCAAGCTGCTTATAAATCTGTATAGCTTTCGACATGTCTGTTAAACGTGAGACTAGCATCCAGATCAACTCCGAGAATTCGGATATGGTCATCAATTTGTATTGCTACATTGTTCATATTTAGCCGTGGGGTGTCATACTTTTGTTTCGCATCACAACTTCACTTTGTTTAGGATACCCCATCTTTATATTCGGTTCAACTCTAGATTCAGATTCTGCTGGATCTCACTTCGTCCGCTATTAAAGCGACGTCCTACGCCAACGCCTGGACGTACTCGCCACCATTTCTCAAGTCCTGTTGGAGCGGGTAGCAAGAGGGCGGGTAGTGGGTAGTAGGTTCAACATCATTGGTCCTTGTGTCTAGCGCAGGTTAATTTTATTTGTCTCAAATCTTCTAAGATGTTGGTTCATCCTACTCTATTCCGCGGCGCTTGTTCTGGTGTATGCGATGCATAATCCCGACGAGAACAACCAGGAAAAGGAGTGGCGAGTGTAAACAGCCTGTGTCCACTTGAATATCGTCTGAGACGAGGCCATCACGAGTCACTCTAAAATAATAATTCCTGATGACCTTTACTAGGTTGATATATAATCTTCGGTGGGACACTAATGTGAAAAAATCGCAACCATATGCTGCACCATCTCAGCGTAACAAAAGTTTATTCGAAGTCTACAAAGGTAAGATAAATCTCCCTCTGCCATTCTGATGCCTGTTGGAGAATGATACGAAGAGTGTTAGTTTGATCTGAGCGAAAGGCAGCTTGTTCTATGCGAAGACCTGTTTACGATTATTTTGCGAAAAATCTTGGAAGGTACTGAGAACAAGGTGATATCTCTCCGATTGCTCCCTATTTGAACAGGGCCCAGCGACTGGCTAGTCGCTGGTCTAGATTTTGGCAATCAACGGTCAGCGTCGACGATGGTAGCCAAGTCCGCTTTAAACACTTCCGCTGTTATAAGGTCATGATGGTGTTTTACCAGTTTGGCATTGATCTCAAGTGGTAGAAATATTTCTTTGCTATGTATCAGGCGTGGACAATGTTGTGGCACGAAACGCGTCCTTAAAGTGCACATGCTAGTGTTGTTTTTGGCCTTCTGATTATGATAAGCGGACCGTCTTTTGATTTTAGGGGCTTCTTACGCTGACTGCTCTTTCCTGGCAAGATTTTAGCCGCTTTATATAACTTTCTCATGTTGCCGGCAGGCTAGAGCAGAAAGTTGAGCGTAGAGAGCAATACCGTCAGCCCACAACCTCCTATCCTGTCGCGCACTGCGATAGGTTTTACGAATCTTCCGATACTGCTGCTTGAGGTTGGCTTGTCGTTGGTTCTAGCAGTTTCAGATCAAGATTAGCTGCCGAGTGGATTGTAACATCCAGTCGTGGCGCGAGTGTTTAGTGGGCTCTCAGACGAAAGACCTGATCTCTATGTAGGCTAATTGGACGTATTTCCACTTTTGTCTATTCAGTCATCTTCAGCGTAAAGTCCGGTGAAGCAGTTACAAGTTCAAGGTTGAACTTGTTCATAGTTTCAGGAGTCCGCTGTTTAGTACCTAACGTCAAACCTTCTCTCAGCCCTACCAGGACCACCGGCTGGTCCCAATCGCAACTATAAGGCGTATACCGGCAACAACCAGTTAATATGAAATAAATAATAAGTACACTATTTAATAACGAATAATATTTTTTTATAACTGTAATACTTAATGGTAAACAGTTCTCTATTATACGTAAAATCAATATTACTACTGGCTGTAATCCCGCTTATTGGGAAGTTAAACAAATGGACTATTACTTTATCATAAAATCTGCGCGCTGTCTAAATACATAAACGTATTATAAAGCGAATCTGATACAAGCAACTTTTAGTGCAAACATTGGCCAATTATAGAAGACTTTACTGTGGTTGGTATTTACAATTCATATTAATAAATTGAACGTGAATTTCGGCCTCAGCCAAAAGAACCTAACAAACAGCATTATACACAAAAGTGCAAATCATCTTTTAACAATCTATTCAAGTTACAATTTAGTAATTGGTCGCATTTAAATTACTACACAGTTATTTATTCGGTTAAAATATTTTATACAGAATATAGCATTTAATTTACTGTCGAGATTCGAGCTGAATAATTAATATTAAATTAAGCTGTACCATAATATGAATATTTATTAGATTTAACTAATTATTATAGCCACTTATTAAACACCGTATGGATAATGCCATGTTGCACAAACGTTTAAATTATATCTAAATATAACGACTGTATGAAGCAAGTGTGAAAAGATAACAATGTGGATTTTGTTCAAAGATTCCACAATTGTTTGTGTAACTGTCGATCATAAGATATAGTATATTTTTTGTTTGTTCAGGGTACGGCATATACTTTGGCTTCGTGGCAGCGTTCGCTTGGTTGAACGTCATGTGCTTCGACATATGGTGGACATTTGGGTATGAGTAATATTTGCTTTTAATAATACAGCAGTGCTTCCTACCTCTGAACTTAACATGGGCCAAATCGTCGCAAAATTTGCAAGAACAAAACGGCTTTCCAACAAAAGAAATGTTTCATTTTAGTAACCCTCCTAAAGATGATACCGATCTTGTTATAATAATTGGGAAACTTTGATCATTATATTATTAAACGACGAGTACGAAAAAGCTATAACTAAAAAGTCTTTAAAAAATAGAACATTCACGCTTGTATTGAACTCTGGAAATTCCGAATTAACGTTTCGCTCAAAGCGGATGCCGGCAAGCTGTACGCCATTGTTGTGATATTAGCCTAACATTTTGAGTCACAATCAAAGAATAGGTTCTTAGTGTACCAGGAATTATAGTATATATATTATATATAGATAGCATAGAGACGTAAGTTGTATGACGACTGTGCTATAAATGTTCTTTAACATTGTGCTGAAGTGCTTTAGACGAGCGGAAACCTATTTTATATTATTCCCTAAAAAAGTTAAGGAATGTTATGATGTCATAAATCATTATGACCGATAAATGAAATCGAAATGTCTGTTCATATGCCATAATAACCATTCTTCCATTAAAGTTATTGGCAATAAAAATAAATTCGATTAGGTAGTAGACATTACGCATGTACGAAGTAAGGATGTGTGTTGTGGAGCATTACTATGAATATGACGTTTATATTCTTTCTTATAAATATTGGTATTGTAAACCTTGAATTGGTATTTTTTTATAAGTAGGAACACTATTTAAAATATGATTTAAAAAAATATTAATATAATCATAGTATAGAAGTACCATAACCGCACCTTCTATGTTATGGCTAAAGCAAAGATAAAACTTTAAATATTCAATTCGCAATTATGGTCTTTGAGGCTTGTGTTTTTGTGGGAAAGCTGGCTGTAATGTCAAACTTCATTACGAAAATAACAATTAGTTAATTTTTTCATACATAGCCTTAATTTCATTAAGGGATTTGTGCTTTGAATTATGTCCTAGAATACGTTTACCTTTTTCTTAAGCCTTTGACAAAATGCGTTTTATGAGATAACTTATCGTATGTTAATAACAATTTAATGTTTTATGAATAAAAAGACAATATTAAATTATAGAAATATGGTATCAGGTTTCTTATAATATACGGACAAAGTAAAAAAAATATTAATTTTATAATAATATTATTATTTAAATATTAATGCATAAATTTTGAATAAGTGATAGGTAGAAATTAAGTATCATATAGTGGCGATAATGAGATCATTGACCATGGAAGTGGAAGGACACGGAATAATATTATCGGAAATCAAATACGATTTATAAATGGCCGTTGTACTTACGACTTAGGGCGTGGACGCTAATAACTCCCCTCTTTGATTGTCAATGTTTACTGACCTTATTAGGTCACATAACAAGGTTTGATAGATTTCTTTCGGCTTACAGCTATTGTATGCATTTATATTAAATAGTTGGAAGACTCGTATAAACCTGTAAGATGTTAATCAACATCGATCGATATTATACATTTTTGCAAACAAGCAATTTTGTTTATTCGTAATGCGGTTTTTAGATTTTATTAGTTATTAATGTTTCGTGTTATTTTAAGTATCGTTTTTTGCCTGCACTATAAATGGTTACATTGAGCATAATGTCTTTCTTTAAGGCGTCAATAACGTAGTCTGACAATCTCAATCAATTCAATTGCAAGTGTTATTTTGAAAGATTAGTTAAGAAATTTTTTGAATGATCATGTTTATATAATGTGTTTATATAATGACATTGACAAGGTAAATTTAACGTGATCAAAGTCACTTCTGTAATATAATTAATATACTATTTATGTAAATATAATGCACATGTATAAATCACAAATCCAATAGCCTATTCAATAGGTTCAGATGTTGCTAGTTGATGATGCATCCGTAATGTTAATGTCAAAATTATTTATCGTACTTATGTCTACGCGTTATTACTAAGATGTTTAGTTCCCATTGCATTTGGCATTTACATCACATAATTAACTAAATTAATTATTTTTATTACACAAATGATTGATGGTAATAAACACTAGACACAGGGCGAGGCAGTAATTAACAAGCTTCATTACCCGTAGGGAATTATAGGCTTCGCGTCGGACGTAATTGAGAAAATAAATCGATTATCGCAATCATTGTGTAAATATGTTCTGTAAAATTTGTATAGACAGCGTTTGGCTAAGGTTTGTTTATGATATGCCATAAGTGTGAATAATGTGGTATAAGAAGAAATTGTTGTTCACGTGTTTAACATTAGACCAATACTGTGATCAGTAAATCATCTTTATTTGGGGCAAAACTTCAATAATCGTCTATAAGAAATATATTTTACATAAAGTTAAAAAAAAGGCGACTTTGGAGGAATATTAAATTTTTTGTGTATGTTATAATGTCGTTAAGTGTTTTAGAAAATTGAGAAGTTATTGATAGAACGAATTTGTTAAGCTTTATAGAGTGGTGATAATTGATGATCTGCCCTGCGATTCTGTAACTCACTTTTCGAACTCACACAGCGGTTTTCGCATCGGCGGTCGCTCTCAAATCAGCCGTGAAGCAGTCATTTTATGATTTGGCATTCTGAAAAGGTGTAGTTTGCTAGTAGTTTATTGTTTATCAAAATGCCAAATCATAAAATGACTGCTTCACGACTGATTTGAGAGCGACCGCCGATGCGAAAACCGCTGTGTGAGTTCGAAAAGTGAGTTACAGAATCGCAAGGCTGATATGAAGACTGACAATTATTGAAAGATGCTCTTATTTTTCTACACTGTGTGGTAAACAAAATGAATATGTACATTTTCCTTTTTATGTCCGGTTCTACGTCTATAATTTTATTGGTAGATAAAAGAGGTATATACTTTTATTATGTCAATATATAATGATAAAATGTTTTCCACTATGGGGAGTTGATGGGCGTGACTGAGCTTTGTAAAGCTTAGTTGGAGTGTAAATTACTAACTGTGCGACTCTAATGAGATATTGCACGCACTGATTAGTCTACAACCATTTTATCTTTTAATTAAATACTCTATTTTGTCTATTATACATACGCCACAATACATTATATTAAAAATAACTTATTTGTACGCACCGAAATATATGTTACAGGAAAAACAATAATTATCTTTGTTTTAGGAGCGTCAGGACGGTCAAGTTGCTTCGAAAATCCGCGTCAGAGAGGCGCCGGTTTATTTTGTACTCCGTGTATGCCTGGAGCACAACAATTGTCCTCACACTCACCATGTTTCTACTTGACCATTATCCTATTTCTCTTTACCTTGATGCCAATATTGGGACAGGTTCCTGTTGGTTTAGCGCTGGTAAGATTATGACTATATATTATATATCCATACATTGTCAGGTTTTCCCAATATTTTTTTAATAACCATTGTACAGATATATCTCGTAATAATAAATATTGTGGGAACAACGATTTTTTGTAATGGAATTTATCTAAGAAACGGCGTTTTATTAAAGGGCTATGACTAGTTTTTATTGTTTAGTCAAAATATTATAAAGTTTTTATTTAGTACAGCTTCCAAAACGTTGTTTGTATAGAATTATTGTTCTGAATTATTTGGCTATGAAGAAAATCAAATTAAATAATGTCAAACACGCGAACATGTGTCAGACCTAAATAAATTGTTCCAATGAGACTTTCCAAGTGAGCAAATATCGCACTAGTAAAGAATTACAAATTATTTAATACATTTTTATGTATTGTAATTGACGTAGCGTTCCACGAAAGAATAAAATAAGAATATTTCAAAAGACCTCGAATTTTTCCACGAATTTGAGAGTACACAATAAACTGACATAATTCGTTTCAGTTCAAAACACAGAAACGGACTGGCCTCATTACATTTTCTTCGTAGTTCCAATGGGCCTTGTGACTTGTACAAATTTTATACTTTGGCTCCTCACAGCTCGATATTGTGCTAAAGTCAAATCCGAGGTTCATCGTTTGCAAGCAGGATCCGTTGGGGAAAGAGCTAAGAAAAGATTCAGAATAGATAGAACCAAGTATGTATTTCGTCATTCGCCAGTGTTTTAGTTAACTATATTAATACATTTTTGTTGAGAATCCACAATAGTGCAAATTTGTATCACGTACAGTAAAGCTTGATAAAAGTAATTATTAATATTTCTACTATTTTCATACAATTATTGCATCATAACCATTGTAGGAGAACAAATACAGAATTGATTTCATATATAAAACATTAATTTGTAGATAAAAAAAATCGCATACATTTGGAGAATTTATTTATGTATTTTTATTTACCAAATAAGTATTCGTCAGACATAAATAATTTAACTGTTCTATAAATTACTATTTATCATTTATCCAGGTATATCCTGACTGGTAAGCTCTGGGTGGTGATGGGAGCTGGTTGGGTATCCGAGCTGCTGTCCACAATCGTAGTCAGTCCATCGTGGCTTTGGGACATTGTTGATCTCATAAATGGCCTGCAGGGAGTCTTAATATTTCTCATATTGGTGGTTAAACCAAAACTGTACTACATTATTAGAAGGCGACTGGGTAAGGTTCTATTTTATACATGTTCTGCCGGCAAAGCTTGTTTCATTAATAGGATACATTTAATACATTCTTTCAAACTCATCTTCCAATGAATAACACAATTTGCTCACTTGGGGAGTTTTACCTAATCGTCCGTATTGTCTTTGCCGTCAAATATTTTGACAAAATAAGGAAAATTATAGATGCCTGAGGAACAGTATTTGCCAATTTAAAACAAAAGATTCTTTAAAGTTTTTCCGGTTTTACAACCTTGAGACCTTTATATATTTTAAACGAGACAAAATACAACATTTTACAATACTTGTTAAATCAACTTAAGTGGTATTATCCTTGTCTTATATATAATTATTAGTATATTAGAAAATGTTAAACTTTTTCAGGTTTAACCTAAAAATTTAGTTACATTTATTACGATTAAAAATTATTTTAAGCTATATAACAACGCAGCATCCAGCGGTACAGGTTACACGAATATTTTTCAGGTTCGTCACAAAGACCGGGTCAGAAAGATACAAGTACATAATTTATATACTCTTAGATGTCGCAATAACAGTGCACTTGCCATTTAACTTAACGCTACATTTGACGTAGTTATTTTTTTGTTTTCCTCGGGATGCTCTTCTTCCTCAATTTTACGCTTAGCTTGTCAGCACTTAAAGCACTCTAGATAATTGCAATTCAGATTTATTTATAAGTACTGGCTTATCTAAATGCTAACACGTAATCAGTGGTTAGTGGTTACGCAGACTAATCACGCTATCATTTAGGTCTACCAATACTAATTTGCTAATGTGGAAGGTACTTTGATTAACATACGTTATGAATAATAAATTACGACAACCGGATAGCCAGTAAATGCTGTGTCACCGCGACTCTTTGGAGTGAAAGTGTTTGTATGCCTCGAAGGGGTTGGTTATATCAGACTCTGCCTGCACTTTGCCTTTGTCCTCGCGACCATTATTTTAATCTCACATTAACAATATTAAACTTATTAAGTTTTAGTTTAAACAAAGTGATAAATATGCCAAACACATTATTTAGTTTGCAATGTAAATATTATTAATTCTATAACATTGGCAGATTTTATGACATCATTATTTGAACTCAAATAAGTCCGCGGATGTCGTAATCCGACACGAAAATGGCTCTCAATACTAATACATTTTCTCATATGTTTTCATTAGTTTACTAACTTTGACTAATATACACAGGGTTAGATAAGGGTGATGCACAGAACGCCACAGCATCAGGTCGCACTTCATCCACTTTCCTGTCGAGAACCATAAGTTCTGATGAACGGACTAATCTCAGAATATCTGGTCTTCAGGCAGCGAAGCAAGCGTAATTGGTTTAATTATCAAACCTGCATTTAGTTTGTATGTAAACTAAAGAAACGTGGCCCGACTTTTGATTTGTTTAATATTACAAAACAGTTCTGATTGAACTCAGTTACAGAGTTTAAAATAATATTTTATGAATGAATTTTTCTTAGTATAATGTTTAGTTAAATTAAATGTTGTCTCCACCCATCTAACATCATCAGTATATAAAAAACGATTCAGTTCGATGGATAATCTTATTACTTATATTACTTATTACTCTAAGACTGAGTTTTAAAGAATTAAAAGGTCATATTATCTTTTTTGAGAGCAAATAAAGGCTCTTCAATTCTCTGGTACCAGCACATCCATTTACGAAAACCAAAGATAAATATGGCTTTGATAGTTTTGTGACAAGTTTTAGTATAATTGCTACATATTAATTGCGCAATACATAGTCGGGCCCAATTGTATGGTAGAATTGTACCGCCTTTACTTTGATGTATAATTGTATTACTTGTACAAGTTTAAAGGATTTCCTTTTACTAATGTTTAAAATATTTTGTTTAAAGACAGTTTTGCGCTTAATTTGATACATAATGCCTTTTAAGCAAAGCTTATAATCTAGTCAAGTATTAGGGTTAATAATATGCTTTTTTTGTGACAACTTTATTTGTTATAAGCGGATTGTGATACAAGCTTACAACAATGCATTAATTTCATGATTATTAATTTAGATTTTTTTATACAAGTGACCTCAGCCGATTACCGAGTTCTAAGACTTATTTTCTGTTGTCATTTGCACATAGATGCGCTCGCGCTCAAAGAGTACCTATGTCATTTTGATACGTTACTAACATTGATATACAAAAAAACCCAAGATGCACAGTCTCGAATAAAAGTAACGCTCGAAAGTGTCCCGAAACACTATTTCTGTCCATAACAGTATATGTTACAAGCATATATTATTGCAAAATCAACCTTACGCGAATTGCTTAAAGTTGTTATTACAACGCAGTGTATACGTACTTAAAGCAATAAAATTTTACGACCGACCGTGGTCGGTAGGACAAGGTATTGAGTGGAGTCGAACATGACTTTTTTATTTACAACTATTTAACATAATTTTAAATTTATCCGACTTTTCGGGTGCTTTACAGCGTGAGTGGTCACGGTGACTGAAGACAAAAGGTGTTGGATGTTAAATAGTTGTAAATTTATAATAATACATAACATTAATCCGGTTAAAAAGATTTTTCTTTAAATTAAAAAAAAATGTTAAATTGGCTACCTCCTGACCCACACTTTATATAGCGTAAATATATTTGTCAAAAACTACACACAAAAAAGTTCAAGAGTACATAAATTTATTTATAAAAAAAACACAAATAAATAACATCGACTCCACTTATAGACGCGAGACTATTTGAAATGAGCGCACAATTTAGAATGTTGCGCTCATTTTTTGAGGACGTTTTTTAGACGTTGATTGTGCATCTTGGGTTTTTGTATATCAATGGTTACTAAGGTTAATATGAATGTAAAAGTATGATAATGTTTATAAAAAAAAGTAACCTATTCCTTAATTTACTTAAGTTTTTGTTACCAATGTATAAAAATAAATTGCTTAAATAAAACTATAATATTATTTTATCAAGAAAAATTCTAGTAATTTAGATGTCGTAGTTATTGGCATGGCATAGGGTAGACAGAATTTGTGCTTAGCAAACCGATATAATGATTGTTCCGCTGGAATGGAACCGAGAAATTTGTAGGTTTAACCATATTTACTCAGAAATACGGAGATATGTTATAATATATATACAGTAGCACCTCGTTAAGTCGAACCTCGATAAGTCAAAAACCTCCAAATCTCGAAAAAATGTTTTGTTCCCTTCCCTTAAAACACCAAAACCTCCATTACTTGAAATCTTGACCCTCTGTTAATCGAAATAATCACCGAGTCCCTCCAAGCCATTTTGGTACATATTTTCACTCTATAACTCGAAAAATTAAATTTGACCTCTGTATCTCGAACATAGGAACGTTTTATTTTACAACCTTTACAACTTGATCATTTGGAATTTATTATCTCTATTGTTCGAACAAAAATAAGTTACCGACTTTAAGAACTTGCCGCCAATGTGAGTACACTATTGTTTCTTAGAAAACATTTTAGGAGTATACAATAATAAATTTATGACTCATGGAAACACGTGTTTGCTTGCTTTGTGTCAGGTGTTCAATTTTGATTCCCTTGGAAATTTAGCTAAGCCAGTCATTTGTTTTCGACTTTAATACTGTCAGAAGTAGTTTGGTTCTACTGCAATACACATCAATTAGTACAACAGTTAACATGAGTGCAGTGAAACGTAAACTAAAAACTTAAACCTCAAACTCTTTATGTCGAATCAAAATCCGCCTAAGTCGAAATCCTCCATAAGTTGAAAACTCTATAACTCGAATTTTTTGGCGTCTCCCTTGATGTTCGTCTTATAGAGGTTCTACTGTATATGTTAGTATATTCTCCGATACAAAGCTACATCTATTATTATTAAATCGACAAGATAAAGGAAATATTACTATTATATCCTTTGTATTCTTGGTTTATAAATGGCTTAGAATAGGCGCGAATCGAAAATCGTCAAAGACTTTGACTGATGCAGCTGTGCTACAATATTTATATAAGCGTTCGTTGCTACTACTAAAGACTGTAAACAATTTTGTAATTTACAATATATTTTGCACAAGAATTATGTTTGGTTTTACTAATGAATGAGAAATGTCACCAAATGACTTGGAGGTGAAGATAGAGGAGTTCTTGAAAATAAGATACTAGATTAAATTGATCTATGATTCCTTTAATCAAAAATTTAACTTCCAAATCAATAAAGCTTAATTTCTGTTAAATCTTGAATAGTACCCCGCGCTGCACTAAGGCACAAAATCGAGTCATCACTTCTATGTGTGAGGTATAGTAGAAGAGAATAGAGGGAGATGAAAGTTAGAAAGTGTAGAGAAGAAAGAGTATTGATTTACTAGCAAACATAGTACCCGTAGTAGCGCTCTTCTATGTGAACTATAAATGAACATCAACTAAGAATAAAGTAAGCACTCTTCACTCACGTTTCAATTGCTTGAAGTCGATCGCTGATCAGAGTTGAAAGTGAATTTGACAATCGAAATTATGTAGTTTACTACCGTAATTAGTCTATAGATGTCGACCAATCACAATAAGGCGACACAATCCGTCGTATCGTTTCTTGAAAATACATTTTGAGTTACCATAGTTACCTTTTTTATCGGAATATACCTAAGTTTTACTGTGCTAATCAACAGCTAATTCAAACAGCCAGCCAACGTTGTGCTAATAACGTCATATTTACATATTTTATTAGTCTTATACTTCGTAATTGCGTCCTTTCATGGAAATAATGTCAAAAATAAGTCATTACATAGTTATAAATACATCTAAGAAACCGTTCCATGAACTGTTTTATTTATAGCTAGTTATTAATTGGCTATGGTAGCTTCTGGATATAATATTTTTGAACATAATTAGCACTCATATTTACGTTTACGCTACGCATGAGCATGTCGTGAATTAATTTCCGAGAAGTTAAATATAGGTATATTTTTTAACGGTTTTTTGTTTAAACTGTGTTTGAGTATTTCTATCCGTTTAATTTTTATTTCTAAAACAACTGTTTCTATCTGATTCTGATAGATTTAGAGTTCGATAAAACTTCATTCTGATCAAAAACGATCGTACAAAATCTCGTAATCTATAAAATATTCATTATTTTAAGTTTTGTTACAAACCAGTATTCCGGAATGTTTACATTGCACATGTTTATAATGTGATGAGTGCGCCGTCTGTTACAACTGGGATACGTAAACATTAGCAAGGAAAAATAATATGTATTATAAATTATGGAATTGAGAACTTATTTAGACAAGACCCATTGTATGAAGCTCCGTAACCCCTCAACAGGTCAGGCATATTTCTGTGTCTTTTTCCTTTATAGGTCATATGTCACTAAAATTTCGAATGTAATATATGGCGGATTTTCATTTTTTTCTATATTCTATGAGCATGTGTTAAATAAGTAAATAAGAAAACGTCGGTTTGAGAATTGGACGCTTAACAACTAGGCTTACACTGTTAGGAACATATTCATGTTATTTTATGATTGAAGAAGATAGATATATGACGATGAATCACCTTTCTATAAAATATGTTTTTCTTTTGCGCAATAGAAGTTTATACAAACCGTTTATAACGACATCGTTTACAACGACCTATCGGTTATTACAACCAGATTGTATGGTCCCGTCCGAATCCCTAGTAAACTATTCAGTAAACAAACCGCTTATAACAACATCGGATACAGCAACATATCGCTTACAACGACGAAATTTTATCGATATTCATCGGCTATAACGCTCAACCGCTTCTTGTCTCAGCAAACAAAACAATGCAAACGATTTTAAATCTTATTTATAAGCATTGAATGAATATTAGGCATATTATTACCTACGCACTTTCTGCCGCCTCATCCGAACCTCTTCCCGGCCATTTGACCTTGCAATTTGCATACTATACATTTGTTTAGTTCGCTAATTGACTGCGTGAGTAACAGTTTGATTTAAAAGTGTTGGTGTTGTTTAGACTGTGCAATTGTGCATTTATGTGTTGTGTCGCAAAAAAAAAGAGAAAAGTGTTTTCTATTGAATAAAAATCTCATGTCATATAGATAAAATGCAAAAAATATTAGAGACTGGGCTAAAAAAAACAAACCAAAATGACATTACTTTTGTACCTAATTATTTCGTAATAAATATTTTTGTTTCTTTTTTGACTCCTTTACATATTATAATATTAACATACCATATTATAACCCATACCTACCTATTCTAGATAGATAACTATGTTAATATAACTATGTACATACGTATTATGTACTGTACTTGTGTATATGACATTGCTTCAAACGACTATCGAATATAACGTCGGCAACTATACGGTCCCTTCAATGTCGTTATAAACGGTTTTGACTGTAGTTCTATTAGTTGCGAGCATTACCCTGTATGACATGGTATGTCTCTGACCCTGATATGTCTGTACAATTATTATGGAGATTTGTATTTTTGTATGATTTCAAACGAATTAAAATAATAAATTTAAATTTAATATTGTCAAACTTTGACGGAATTCATTTTACCTAGTAAGCAAGATGTTTATTTATTTACAACAAAAGCCAAACAATGACCAATTTATTATATATAAAGTGCATAATTATTGATTTAAGATTTGTAATTCAAATAAAATTATGTAACAGAAAATATATTTTTGAATATAAAACGCAATGGTTGGTGTATAAAAATAAAACCAACGACGTTATTTCAAAATGATTATTTTATTTTGACATTTTCAATGGAGAATAAAACTATTTACAATGTTGATTTGAGGCACATACGCTTACATCTAATATCATAATTTACAATTACCAAGGTACTGTTCTAAAATTAATTATAATAAGTACAACTAAATGTATGTTTTGTAATTAAATCGCATAGGTACAATAGTGGTTTTAAGCTACAGAGTCTCTACAAACGCCGACAACGTATCCATTGACTAAATGGGCCTTGGGCTGCGGTAGTTACCTTTTATGGCCAACCCGCAGGCTATTTTCCTCTTTACAAAAATACTCTAAAAATATAAATATTATATAATTCCCTCATTCAAGGGAATTAAAGCTTAGAATAAAGGCTAAAGTCTTAAGAATCTATTTTGTTACAAAGGTTCTTTCGATATAAATGACTGACCGAAAAATAACGTAACTTTACGAAAACTGATACAGTTAGGGACATTTTGCGTTTATAAATTTTTAAATATATATTTTTCGACAACCAATTATTACGAATAAATAGAGGAATCAGATTATAAGTTATAATTCTGTTTTCAACTATACGAAGTTGCTTCAATTATTTATAAAACAACTTTAAAGTGAGGTTATCTTATGTAAAAATAAATATATAAATAAAATAAAATACTAAAATATCACATGGTTAATATTTTCACTTAATACAGCTAACATTAAATATATTTTGTCAAAAATACTCTGTCATAACAAAATAATGTTAAAATCGACGCCATTTTAAGGTAAGTACAATCATTTAGTGTTTACACAAAAAAATAAAACAATTTTAAAGATAAAAAAGAGGTTAAGTTACCATGGACTGGTATATACATCTTTTATAGGTCTGTAACTAAGCTATAAAATTTGTGCAGTATTTTTTTTAAATCAATTTATTTTCTGAAAGCAGTGCGCCTCTTGGAGTAAAATCATGCGCGGTATTAATTTCGCAGCCAGTGTTGGTGATTTTATCACACATGAAATCTTATATTTCCTTGTATTTTAGTATTTAAGACGCATAAAAATACCGTACGAAACGGTATTTATGATCATAATTTATTATGACCATCCTGTAAGGACGGACGGATTATTTAAAATACATAAAATTAGAAAACGTGTTTATGTTTTTTTATCTGTGTGTGCTTCGCAATATGGTAGACCATATGGCCTAAAGGTCAGGCCATAAACTCCAAAAAAAAAATCGTAGACCATAAACCAAAAAATCTATGATAGATAATATTTTATTGCAATTTATATAGTACTTGATTTTTGCAAAACTGTGAAAAGCATTTAAATCTCTTAAAAGATTACTGATATTTTGTTTATGGTGTATTTGGTTGGAGACTAAGGGTAAGATTCAGAAACAACAGCGCTAAGTATGATTCCTGGACGTCAAAAATGTCCTGGGTTTTGACATACGCGAGTCATAGTTTGGGCAAGTGTCTAAAACTGCAAATAAATTAAGAAATGTTTACTCGTAAAATAGTAAATACCTTACCATACCTTACCTTATCATTTTGGCATCATTCACAATAATCGTATTACATAATACATTAATAACGCCTGACATTTTTTTCATTTACTTTACGAGTTTTGACTGATAATTTTTAAATAATCGATTTTTAATAATATAAAGTTTGCATTAATTAATACATTATTCAAATGATTAGGTAGTTTGTTTTTTATCGCATTCCTATATTTATTTTAATGTAACATAGGTTTGTTAATCATAATAATTGCTTGCGTTCATTAAGAGTTACTTAAGTCATTTGCACGGATTTTAATTAGATTACTATAGATACAACTATAAGTTAAAAAAAGACCTTTCCGAACTCAAAACCCACAATAGGATGGCATTAGACAAAAGTATCTGTACTCCAATAGCCATAGCGATTACAACTTCAATATGCAGTTTTTGACAATTGGTTGCAAGTTTGCGACAGCGTTACGGAAGTTGAATAAATTAACAATGTTGAAGTGATTACCCTATCGCAGTTTCAGATCTCCTCCGCTAGATATCACTATAGTTTGATATTTTTATAAAAGTCTCTTTTTAAATGTTCAAACCAGATAGACTTGGCAATAGCTTATTGTTGTAAGTATAATAACATTTGCACATAATTTAATGGATAACTCTGAGTACGAAAGTAAGATGAGTTGCGTACATAAACTTAGCTGACACGTTACTGATATAAATAGAAACGGTGTAAGAAGTGTATTCTTAGTACGTAAGAATTACAAATTAAGGCCTATATTCACTTTGATTAGTGCGAGTGCCAGTGATTAGTAATTGACATTGGTTAGTGCAGGTGTGTAGTGCAAGTAGTGTCCAATTATTGTTTAGTGGCTCTGTTAAGTAAATTCAGTTGTCATATAGTTTGGCAGGCACGCTGCGAGAGAGACGAAAGGGAGGGCGCACGCGACGTCACTACTTGCAGTTCACTCGCAAAAAAAATAGAACATGCTTCTAATCACTCTACTACGCAGACAACTAATCACCTGCACTAATCAGTCACCGTCCACACTTGTTTTCTACTTATCACTAATCACTAATCAAAGTGAATACAGGCCTTTCAAAGTAAATCAAATGTTGCGATGACTCTCATATGTTAAAATTCATTACATTTTTGACGAAAGTCTCATTTCTGAATCTTATCGTAAATAAATTGAGTATGATTTGTCTCTAAATCTTCAGCTTAGTGTAAGTTGGGCTATTCCTACATATTATATTACTAAAGTTTACATTTTTACTTCTTCAACGGATATACGCAGGTATATAATAAATTCATTTAAATCAACTCATATCAACCAAAGACAATAAACTCATATAAAAACTAAATCAGTCTAATTGCACCGTTTTTAAAGTACTGTCACTTTCAAACTGTAACAATTAGACAGAAAGAGACGACAGAGTACTTCACGTAAAAGGGTTAAATTAGATTAATTTAGTTTTTAAAATGGGATTCCTCTGGCAGAAACTGCCATAGTAACCGTGACCGTGATGTAAATAATGCTTATTATTATTATACCTATGAATAAATATTTCGGATTATTGGACGGGAATATAAATAATTGTTTTACCACTATCAAGTGCGATGGTTCGGTTGAACTGTGATGGGATTGGGTGTGCTGAACGCTGTGGGAATTTTCGTTGTGGGGTCAGGAGTGCTTGGTGGTGAATGGTGTAGTTCCCCACTGACTTCAGCATCACGTTCTGCGATCTCCTCTTCATCGATGATGGAAATGTCACGAATCGAAGGCCTGTGTGAGCGACGCCAACCTGGAACAGCCATATGGTAAGTTAGCAAAGGTAGTCAATTACAAATACATACACAATCAGTCACACACACATACATGCGTAATACACACACATACACATACATAAAAACGAATAGCTAAGGTCCATTTATCTAGGAAGTTCATGGGCTTATATTATCTGGCTGCGACCAAATATGTGAAACCGCCGAAGTAGTACTTAGTGGTATATTCTATGTCAATCAAATATGAGCTGATATGATTTGAATATATTGATATGGCCGGATTTTAGGAATTAAATATATCGAGCAATATGCGACTACGTAAACAATTCGCGATAAAAGGTCAAAGTGTATTGATAAATAATTTATGAAAATAACACCCGCTAATACGCAGCAGCGTATCGGAATTCGTTAGTCAACATAATGCGCTCCTTAAAAGTGGTGTATATTTCTGTAGCTATTTTACAATTAGTGCATTGTTCAGTAACTTCGGGACTTGGAAGATTAGACCAAAATGACTATCCGGAACTGGGAGTGCCTGGGGAAAGATATTTAAAAAGTAATGTGAAGAAAAATTTGATTTCAAAAAATCTAGGACGGCATTTGTATATTCCAATAGAAGAGAGGAGGAGGAAATCTCGACAAGCTTATCCAGGTTATACGACATCAAATCCCCAATATAATTTACCCCTTTATAATAGTAATAATGCTCCTAAGTTTGGCTACCCGAATTTGCCTCCACAAAACTATCCACAAACATATCCAACTCATTCTTCTTCGCCCACAAACTTTCCAATCAGTCAAGGACCTTATCAAACGCTACCTAACAGTCAATACCCTTACAATTCCAATTCACAATCCTTTTATAATGGCAATAATGCTACCAAGTTGGTCTACCCGAACTTGCCTCCACTAAACTACCCACAAACATATCCAACCCAACCTTCTTCCACAAACATTCCAATCCATCCAAAACCTTATCAAACGCTTCCTAACAGTCAATACCCTTACAATTCTAATTCACAATCCTTTTATAATGGCAATAATGCTTCCAAGTTGGTCTACCCGAACTTGCCTCCACAAAACTACCCACAAACATATCCAACCCATCCTTCTTCCACAAACATTCCAATCCATCCAAAACCTTATCAAACGCCTCCTAAAAGTCAATTTCCTTACAATTCTAACTATTCATCTAGCTCGAGCTCCGTGAGTCATGTTGATCGTTATCAGAACTATAATTTTGGACATAATACACAAACACTTCAGTATAACAATAGTCCTACTCCCAATGTACAATTTCCTAGCAAACAACCTAATAATTATGGAACAAATCCACAATTTACACATCCTAATATGACTAATCCTTCACAATATGGAATAGGAACAACATATGATAACAGAAGACCCCAAACATATCCCGGGTATGGCGTGAATAATCCATTTGGAAATAGTAACCAAAGATACCCAAATCAATATTCAAATCCAACAAGCAGTAGCCCTACTCATCAAAGTGGTGCATATAATCCAAATTATAACCCAATAGGAAACTTGATATTGAGTCAACCTCAAAGCACAAACGGAAATGGACTTGGTTCCAGACAAAATGGTCCCAGTTACCATGATCCATATGCCAATCACCCAATGACTGGGCAGTATCCAAATAATTATAGTCAAAATGGTCATAACAATCCTCCAAACTACAATAATACACAGGCATATGATCCAAGAAAGACCTCTCCACAAAGATTTTCTTACTAAATGTAAATATTTTAATGTAAGTATATTATAAAATACTTGACAATGGATATAAAATTAAATGATATGTAAAAGAAAAACCGTTTTATTTACAAGGTCAAGGTCATTTGGGTCAAAACTTATTTATAAACTGTATAGAACGTTTTGTCAAACCCATGTCAAGTAGAACAGAGAGACAATGTTTAAACGAATTGAGGTTAAGTTTTTTCTAGACACTATATTATTAAGGTAGACTTAACTTTGGTTGTAAGGTTTTTTAAAAAACTTATCAAATTCTTACCTTCCAAAACTGGCGGTTTCGACGTCTTAGATAATAAACGAGGTCCCGTTATCGTGATGATGATGGCTCCAAGAGGCGCAGTGAGTATAATAGAGAGAATGCAGATAGTGATAATCGTGTCAGCGTAGTAAACCAATTCGCTAGAGGGCTCATTGTTCCCTGCTAGCTTTCGGATGTAGTCCAAAGGAACAGTTGCCAGGGCGGCCTGAAATTGTATTTTTAATTCCAATTATTAAAATAATAGAAATCTTGAAGTGAAACTGTTGAAAGTGGTAAGTGTGGCCTATTTGTCTGTTAATGAGAAAAATACATACATTTATTAAACTACTTGTTCACTATAGGTTTGTTGAGTTGTGTTCATTAAATATAATCAAAAAATATTTATTTCCATACCTGTACAGTAGCTTTCGCCATCCATGAAAATCCGACGAAGATTTTTTCCTTCATATTTAAATTACTGCAAACCGCACTAGCACTTGTTACCATGGCTCGTAGAATGACACATGTCATAAGAATACCCACGCTAACTAATACTAAGTTTGGGGGCAAATCAGCGATCTGAAATTTTTTTTATACAGGCGTTAATATATCTATTTATATATATATATAAACATTATTAATCATTTACATCACATATCATAAAACAGGAAATAATAAAAGTAGAAAGTAAACCTAAACGGAAACATTTAAAATAATAAAAATACTTGAAACTGTCTTGAACCAACTAGTTTTTTAATTACATCCTTTATCTTTTCCTATTTTATTTCTTTTTAATTATTATTTCGTATTATTTGTAACGCAAATTATAATTAATTGTATTTTTTAATTCACATAGCATTCGAATATAGTAATCGGCGAGAGACAGTCTGAAGTAATTCCCGTTTATATAATGAGAGGGAACCCGTAACTCAATTCGGCGGACATATTTCGCGAATAGAGAAATGTCTATTGTTGTACTGCCAGGGTTCTAATGCAGGCCTTTATGTTACTCTTACTATATACATAACTCTTTTGCCTGTTGCTGACAAATTGTGTTTACGTTGTGGTGAAAAGAGAGTTTAGTTGTTATACAATACGTATTTTATATGTTAATGTTAATTTAAATTAAATATTATAACATAAGATTTATTTATTTCATCTACGAGTAAATATCAATTATAATACCCGAAACTATCCAACGTATTTATCAATTTTTTACACAGAGTCAGTTATACAACTTTTTGTAAAACTTACTAAAAAAATTTAAGTACGTGAAATCTTATTGTTAATGGATGACATTCGATTCTTGTCAACACCAACTTTTTTTATAGAACAGGGAAACAAGCAGTAGCCTCACCTGATGTTAAGCGATACCCATGGACATTCTTAACGCCAGAGCGCTTCCGAGTGCTTTTCCAGCCTTTAAGAAATGGCACGCTCTTTCTTGGAAGGACTCTAACTTTCTATATAAAACGATTAAACTGCTCCACTATATCGGGTTACACAATTTATTCTATTGCAAATGGGTTAAACTAGCAAAAATATTTACCACAACTTGTGACCCAGTTATAGAGAACAACATTGGTTCAAAGAACATCCAGAAAATCTCGTTCGCTGTTGCCACTGGGTTATCGTCTAACTCCCATCCTTGTTCCACCCAATTCTTACAAGCGACGTATGAAAATGCTATTACCGCCATGGGACCTGCAATTCATATTTCAGAACTAAAAAAACAATTTGTACGATTAAATCAATTTAGAATTTATATTCGTATTCGTATTTTTTTACAATAATGTGTATATATCCTTATTTATCGTATATTATATATATAAAATTCTTCTCTGCTCTTTATTAAACTTCTAATGAACCGATTTGATAAAAAAAATATTTAAGTATATTCGAGAATTAACAATCAGATGATTTGCGTTCGAAGTGTTGCTTTTGTACAGAACAACGTCTGTCGGGTCTGCTAGTTATAATTTGTAATAATATAATGTTAATTGCCTTCCAATTTTAATTTTTCTTATTTCGATTTTTTGGTAACGAGAAAGTCTCTTTTTTATAAAGGCAAGTATTTTGGGCCATTACATTCTATAAGTGTATATGTAATACTCATAGTACGTTTATATCCTTATAGTTCGAGTTGAATTGAGTTAAATTTCAAAATCTTAAAAAGGCAAAAGCAGACTATCGTGGGAATGGATTAGTAAATATTATGTAAAACATTGTGTATTTTTACCGCGATAGACTTGATCGTGCGGCAATGCTTCTTTAATTATAACATTTAACCTACATGCTAGCTCTAACATACACATCATCAAGATTGATCTAGAAAGTAGATTACCAGAGAGAAATGTCAAAAAACTGAAATTTTTTGGTATTGTTTATATTTAAATAAATATATGTAATTAAAAACTACTACTGTAATGTTATAAACATCTACATTAAAACTTTTGCTTTAGTGTATTATTTAGACCAGTGTATTAAATACCAAAAGAGGATCAAATTCTAAAACATTCTCGAATCCACTTTTTTGACATTCATTACATAGACACGCACTGAGGATTTATTTATATAAAGATATTCTGTCAAATACCTGCAACAATTCTAAAAAAAACTAAAAGCGTTAGAAGTTATACTTAACATATTTATCAGTTTTTGTCTGATCAGTGACAATTATTATTCTTAGATTTTATACTTTATATCCACATAACAATGAATACATCTCGATAAATAATTGTTATCCCATGTTTTCTCTGTTTTATTGCACCTCCGTTCCTATTCTTATAACAATGTATTGTTTGAGTGAAAGGCAACGCTTGGCGAGGAAAACAATCAGTGTTCGTATGCGAGTCCAAACAATTTTTACGATCACTCAGCAAAGACATGGCGGTTTACTTTTAATCGATTTTACACTTCTGGAAAGTGTGAAAACGATTTTATACAAACTTGGTACTGATACACGATTGTTCTTAGATTATAAATTTTGAGATACTAACATAGAATATGACATAATAAATCATTTAAATTATAATTAGACATTTGCATGCTTATTTGATATGGATTATTGTGCGTTATTTTAACTATTTCATCCGACCTCTATTTGGGCAAATAAGTAATTTGTTATATGTGGTCTAAACTCATATAGTATATCTTTATTAAGCTGTATGTGAATTAAATTATATAAGTTATATTTTGACGCAACATATAGAAATGAATTAACAATTTTAGTTTTCGTTTATTTAAGTGAAGTTTTAAATTATAAGCAATATCCGATATTAGAACGAAATCATCTAAAAGTACCAAGATCTTAACCGTAAAATAATGTATTCAAACATAATCACGATTTTATTTTTATAAAAATAATATTGTCTTATCAAAACTTCGTTATATTAACTCTTTACAATATTCTATAATATATTTGTAACTTTCATATTTAAATTGATTATACATATATTAAAATATTTTGGTATAAAGTAGATGTGTGTGTAGAGAGATGTATAAACTTACCAGCACCACCCCAACCAATTTCTTCCGAGCCAAATATAGAAGCGAGGCCTCCAGTGAGCAATAACAGCACTCGCAAAGGTACCAAAAACGCATCGTTCCGTTCCGGAATGTATTTGATCAGGTAACCACAGAGCACCCCAAAGGCGATTCCAATGATTACGCTAAGCGGACCCTGAAATGACAAGGCGTTTTCTTAAATTTTAACCGCACCACGTGTTTAGTATTTATATAATTAAAAGAAATACAAGTGAAAATTCGAATGACGAAATTTTAACAAAACCTGTTTTGTAACCTATCATAATAAGTAAATTATTCTTCCCATTATATTATGTTTAATGAAATATGAAGGAAAAAATAATTGTGTGTTATTAAGAACTATATAAATTTTGTTGTTCAACGTTTCAGTTTGTGTACTTAGGTGTTATTAATTAAATAAAAATTTTTTACTTTTTGTTTCTGTTACCTATACCTTTGAATTGCAGCTATTGCAATCAATGTTTATTTTAACATGTATATATTTTGCTTCAGTTTCAGTTTTATTAATTATTTTTTTGTAAAATTATGCAAATGTTTATTGTTGTAAACTAGCAGGAGGCTTAAATGGTGTTAAGTGGTACCGCGCGTGCCATACACTGCCAGTAGGCTCGCGATTGCGTTGGTGGGCTCAAAGACATCTCATACAACTTTATAAACATATACGGTGTAGGTGGAAACATGCTCCATTGTGATAAAAGACATCGAGGTACGGGTATAATTTCTTATTCATTCTCGGTTATCAACAAATAATACAAGCGTAAACAATTAAAAGTTCCAATTTTGAAAATTAAGAAAAACATAATGATGATAATTTATATTTATAATTTTTTTTTTTTTTTTTATTATATATATTGTAAAAACAAATCATTCTGTACAATTATGATTTGCTTCTGACACGCTACATACTACGTCATGTGTTATACTGATCAGTATGCAATCATTGCCCTAGTAAAGTTATAAATGTACAAGTTCAATGAAAACGTGTGGTCATTTCTAAGGCGCTTTGGCCATGGTCACCGCATAATGGAAACGTTACAAAGAACTAAATTTTCCGTGATTAACTGTTGCGATGTTTTGCGTATTGCAAGTACCTACGATTGAATGGTATGAATACTCGAATAAAGACCATTCATCTTGAATTTTGCTGATCGAATAAGAGATGTGTGAAATGTAATTATGTATTGTCAAAAACAACTTTACTTTTTACGTATTGAAACTGACTTATCCCAATTCCAAAACATTTGAAGAATTTTATCGTATCTCTCTCTCTCTCTCTGCTTTAATTAAACTAATGTTAGTTTCTATACTAATTACTATTTGGAATTTTTATGTTAAAAAATTCAGTTTACCATAGTCACTTTCATTTTAATTACTAGCATTGCTTGTTATCGATTAGCTGCCCATTGCTGTCTTAAATATTATTATTATGCAACAAACTGTTAAATTAATTTTTACCTGTATAATATTCATTGTGACCGAGGAGCTTGAGAACATTATAGACGCCAGAATACCAAATATAGCAACACTGATGGCATCGTCAACTCCGGACACGGCGAGGACAAGGGTGGGTATACCTTTGGACACCCCGTAACCCTTACTTCTTAGGCGGAATAAACACGGGACGACCACCGCTGGTGATACAGCAGCAACCACTGAACCGAGAAGGAATGCTAAAAAGAAGATTTAATAGGTCAATATCATTGACAGACGTAAAAACGCGAGCACGGATCAAGTATGACTTTTTATGACAATTCAAATTATATTTTTTCATCGAGAGTCTAACCCAGGTAATCAATAAAATTACCCATTTGAACTGAAACAGTTAGAGTAATAAAGAGAGAAAATATACTAACCCCAGTCCCAAGGCAATCCAAGCAGAAGGTTCGACATAACAGCGCACAAAACAAATTCAAATGTCCATGGTACTACTGCCAATTTTATTACGGAAAAGAAACATTTCTTCATGGCCATTGGGTCCAAATCTAAGCCAGCTCTGGTTAAGATTATCGTTAAAGCTATTTTTCTGAAAAAGTCCAAAGTTTCAACTAAACATTAATTATGTTATTATAAATATATTGGAAAACATAAAAAAAAGAATGTGTATGGCAAAAATTGCTCATATTAGACACTTACATTTGAATAATAAAAACAATTGCAGGTTTATATCAAGATGTTCTTATATGATGGTTGCTTACAAACATTTTGTAAAACAACAAAATTGGCAATTTAAAAGAATGACGGAAAGTTTATTGGCAGATCTTCTCGTCCGTTCTACGTCCTTGATTTGAGAACTTTTTTATTGACGTTCATTTCGTTTTTTAGTAAGTTTATTAAACTCACCTTATATACGAGCACACGTGTAAATATTCTGAATTGAAATTAACGAAGCCAATATTCTTTAACAACACTCCGGTAAACAACATTCCAATTAGAGCTGGTAAGGTTGTCAGTTTTACCATCAGCCAGCCACCGATATTGGCAGCTATGGTTAGACTTGCCAACATGAAAAGTTGCCCGCCTGGCGCCGCAGTGTCTCCTAATACCATCCATACTATTAACCATACTAAAATACCTGTAAAATTGGGAAAAATTTAATTGGATAATTCCTTTTTTTAATCTGGGACGACTAACTAACGTGGTTCGGTGATACTTATACACTTACGTTCTATATTATACACCTAGCATAATAAATAAAAACCGCGTAAAGTTACTAAATTTATGCATAAATAACTGGGTCATTATTGAAAGCATATAAACAAATCTTATCTTTTGTTTTTGTAAGAACACGCTTATGCGTAACGGACCTGCGGGTTTTAATTTTGGGGGACCAGCTCGTTGAGAATATTATTTATTTTTTATTATAAGGATATTCGACTTTAAGATACACGATAACATTTTGTTCACAAAATCACAAACGAAATAAATAATTATTGAATCATAAACTTATTAGGTGACCTAATCGGATAATATTTACGATAATGTTACGGGTTTTAAACAATTCGTCACATGGAATTTATGCTTCAAAATAAAGGTTCAACGCCCAAAAACACACATATATATAGGTAGCATGAGTACCTACTACTATCCTCAAAGGGACTCTTATTTAAAATCAAGCGATCAATGATTTTTTATAAGATGCGGAAGTTGTTCCTTCGTAGATGGAATGATGTATATTTGTAACGAATAAACTCAAAACTACAAGACTGGAAATTTAATTTACAATTAAAATACTATATTAATCCTTACTATTGCTATATTTATTTCAAACATACATAATTAAAAAAAAAACGTCCAGCCGTGCAAGGCCGGGACGCCCGTAGCGTCATATTCAATTGTAATATAAAATTATCAACACTTCTTATTTCCATCACGTAAACGAAAAGGCCTACTGCTGAATACCATTATCTAATTTTCATTAATTAAAATCACTCACCGATAATTAATACTGATAGGTTTTGAGCAAAGTGCCGATATGACGGACATAGTGGATAGGGGCAAAATTTTTGCCAGTGCGGTGGCTCCCACGTCGGAATGCCGGAGTCGTCACTGTGACACTTTTGACAACAAGCGTACCACCACGACCTGTCAAAGAAGGAGTGTAACATGACTATTAAAATAATACTACATAATGTTTTGCCTATTAAAATATAATTCTTCTTAGTAGTACTTTAAAAATCTCTCATATAACGACACAGCCACAAGGTCCTGACTTACCTCAATCTCGTGGCAAGAGAAAACTCGGTAGACCAAGTCTGTGTTCTTTGAAGTTGTCAAGGACCTCGAAACAATAGGTATTCGAAGATGGATGCAAGAAGCACATTATAATTTAGTAACATCAAAAATTTGCTTAAATCTTGTTTTTTATTTATTTACTATAACGTAGGCCTATTACTAATTATCGGTGATACTTATAAATTATATCAAGTCTACTTAAAGCAGCATTATGAAACAAAAGCGCTGATGGAAATATAAAGTAGATTAGGCTTAAGGATCCTATTGCAAATAGTCATGTATTCAGTCTAATACAAACTAAGTCATGTATTTTTATGTAAGAGTAAATTTTTTAAAATATCTAAAGTTATATTTAAAATAGTTAAATAATAATCAGACCAGAGTACTAAAATATCCTTACGATGCGGATAGTAAGCTCGCCTTGATTATTTATTAACGCTATATTATATTAGCACCCCAACGGAAGACTTTTTAAAATGACTTGAACAACTTCTCATAATACAATTAAAAAACTACCTACCTTTCAACGTGTTCGCTGTGGTGTGAATGAGCTTTCTTCGAGTGAACAGATGATGTAGTGGAGTATTTCTTGTATCTACCCTCGATGTGTGTCGGCCGTTCTGGGGATTAAACATGTATGAGACATGGCTGATTATTCCAGTTCACAGCGTATGAGAATTAAACAGATGTTTAATTGGCACCTTTCAGTTGTGTGTCGAGCACGAAAACCTTTCGAATAAATATATAAAGCATTCGTGATTTTTCTACACGTACTAATATATTAAAGAGGAAATATTTGATTGTGTGTTTGCATTCAACAGACTCCTAAACTACTGGAACGATTTGAAAAATGTCACTAAAAGGATCCTACGTTATGTCTGATAACAAAGGCAATCTAGCAATATTCGCAAACACTGTAATCAAATATTATTAACGGTTTTGAATTGATTTGACTGTGACGTTAATTTATAAGCCCTGTGACATTTAATGACGATGGCAGCACACAGTTGCTATTTCAGCAATATTTAATACCCGCCTTCCACTGCGAGCGGAACGGACCCATTACGGACTCCGCTATACTAGTAACGATGATTTTCATACATGTGCTTCCACCAAAGCGGAGACGAGCGCAGCGGAGAGAGCGAGTTGAAAGAGTCACATACAAGGTTAGCGAGTTGACCGAGATTCCCACGGAAATGAAAATGAAAATGTATTAAAATCATCGTTACGAGTATAGCGGAGTCCGTAATGGGTCCGTTCCGCTCGCAGTGAAAGGCGGGCATTATTGTTTTATAGTACATATATTATTAAACAAATGTCCAGCGGTGCGAAGCCAAGACAGACCAAAATAAAAAAACGGCTTCTGAATTGCAGATTTCTGAAAACGGACAGTATATCGGATTGCTGTATAAAAAAAACTCGAAGACTGAAATCGATATCACCGTCTTATCGAAAGTTTTTACGCTTGTGACACGGGTTAGGCTAGGTTTTATTATTGACCGGATTGCCCTGATAATTAGGTCAATGTTATGTGAGTATATATCGTTAAGTTTTTCTAGATGGTGTTGATTAAAGTGAGCGAAGTTTATGACAAAGTTGATAGTTTTTTGTAGTTAGAAAAAAATACTGTAATACAATTTCAATCATGACATGTTAATAATTCAATATAACTAAGAAAAATGCAGGTTTTCGACACCTTGCAACCATACTTTTTATAAATAGCTTAAACTGATTAAACAGGGTAAACAACAATTTTTGCATAAAAATTATAAAATATAATTTGACATACCCCATGATGTATCCATTTCCGCTGCCATGGCATTGTGTAAATTGCTTTTCCGCCGCGATGGCCCCTCTGCTTGTGCTGAAACTCGGCCATTCCTACTGTAAATTAAAATCTGGTTAAAATGTTTGATATTAAAGCTTATTTTTTTTGGTTTATGTTATAAACTTATTTAAAAATATAGGTATACGTTATATATAGTAAAAAACATATGACAGTCAACTCACATTAAATACACTGAGAGAGATACCCATGTGGGTCATAAATACGTTAATAATAAATAGGTAAAAGACCTAGGCTAGGATTGAGGTCTTCATACAATTTGCAGTCTTAAACTCTAACATGTTTTAAGAACTACATTTCTGTATTTGTCACATTTTATGCTTTAGGCCTTTTCTAATTAGTAGGGTTAAAGGTAATTTTTCCACATATATAATACAAGGTTATAATACAAAGATTGATTAAATTTTAATAGATAGTAGAAATACAAAGTTTGCAACATGAATCATCTCGCAATTGCATTCCTAGAAGACCTTTGTACAACTTAATAATTTTAAACTCTTTAATTTGTTAAACTCACAAAGTTCTATGATAAAATATTACATTATTTTTATAATATTAAGAAATATCTCAAATTATTATCTAGTTGATAGATTTGTTGCTTAATTAAAAAAAAAATCGACTGATTACAAAAGTGCGAATTAAGTATGAGAGTCGTTTTTAAAACACAAAAGTACATATTTATAAAGACAAACGGATGGATTTGCGTTCCCTAATTGTCATTATTTCTTATAAAATCTGATAAAAGCCATGAGGCTGATTACAGATGGATTTATAAAAAAAAAAAAAAAAATAGAAACCTGAACTGCGTATTCCTAAATTAAGAAAAAAGGTATCTCTGTATCACGTGTTTGAGTCGTTTTGTTAAGACGAAATCAACTAGTGAACCATAGGTAATACAAATTCTCAAAGCTCACTAGTACAATACAAAAGCTATAAAAAATAACAATAGAGCCGCTATTTTGCTGAATCAATTAAATTTTCAAGGGTAGTGGCATTGAACGTTACCGCTCGAACCCTGCACTCAAAGGTTGCAATGCCCATAAATGATAGTCATGTGACTAGCAAGGTTTTTGTGAATGCAATTTACGTGACATTCTTTTTGCTAAAAATAGTAGACGTCCAAGTAGACTATAATTAGATATCAGATATGATTGATTATGTAAGGATTTTTTTTTGTTATTTATAGAATTTGAGTTTAGACTATACCAGTATATTATTGCCGTAGTAATATTATTGCCTCGGGCATAGAACCTCCTAATAAGACTAACCAGAGCAAGTGCCTAGTAGTAATAAAAGTAGTTACGTTACGAATCAATCAATTTATCTTGTTCGTGTTTCCTATAAAAAATAGTAAATACTTACATATATATTTAGCAAGAATATTCCGTAGGTACTACGGATTTACAATAACATTAATTGCAGGTAAAGTAAAATTACTCAAATTGAGGAATTGTATACTGTCGTCAGACTCTATAGTCTGTGTTGATCTATTTGTAAAGTTGTCTTTTATTATTTATAGCGTGGTAACTTTATCGTAGTAGCATATTTTTTTGGATTTATAGACTTTTTATTTTATTTTATAGACCTTTCTGATATTTATTTGTATTCAAAAAGCCTAAATTAATTAATTTCAACTAAAAATAACACCAATCATCTTTTTAAAAAGATATTTCTAAAATAATTTATAAACTTTGGGACATGTAAGTTAATTACTTAAACAAAAAGCTCTGTATTGTAATATTTAAAAGAAATGTTGTTTTATAAATTTGGGGCATATTACATTTTAGAAGTACGAATAGCATGTTGACATACCGGTTTTATCTTTGGATACTAATATTGACCGATATTTGCGAAATTTTTAATGCTTTAGTCCAGATATTATTAAGAAATACTGTATTACATATCAATTAAATTATTTAACTAAATACCCAAAGTACGGTAACTTTCATAACTATTAAGTTTTTCTAATTTTCCCTTCTTTGTTTTCTGATAATATGACAACTATACGCAATAGTTAAACTTTTGTTGTGACTCATGTGGTTATTTAATAAATCCCTTGTATCACAAACTACTTCTTACATTAATTTCTATGTATGTTACGAAATAATTCGATTCGCACATATGTAGTTCAATTATATAATTATATGATATTTTCGAGACGTAGCGTGGTGGACACAAATATCAATGCAGTGTAATTAATTAATTTTGTCTCTTTAGTTACTTCATTCATGAAAATTAAAGCATAGACAATCTATGCTAATAAGACGTGATCGATTTATAATATTTATTAAACTAAGAACCGTTTGGCTTCATTAAAAATACCTACCTACCTGCCTACCGCTATGTAACAATACAAAGTAATTAATTATTCATGTTGATTAGTAAAATAACTGGTTAATTGTAACTATTTAAATTACTTCAGAAAAGTACTCGTGTAGATTTCGTGAATAAAATGAAGGTTGCGCTCGGAAATTTTATGACATTCATTTGTTTAAATACCGCGATGTATGCATGAGAAAGCGCGAATATTTATAAACAATATTTTATATATTAATAAATAATTTGGTGACAAAGAAAGCTTACCAGTGTTTATTAAGTGGGTCCGTCTCGAGGGATGAATCTGACGGTAGGTAGGCGTCATAATGACTAAGGCTACTGTGAGACATTCTACATGGCACTTTGCGAGTCTTTTTCACTTAAAACTTTACGAGAGTGTTTCGGTGCGCCCGGGCATGCCGTTAAGTCCAGCACGCTCCACACCTATGCGAAACAGTGTGTGCATCTTATAAGAGAATGTCGAGACCGTCAAGCCGCCCGCCTCGTCTCACCCCGGGCACGTGACTGCCACACAATGCCGGCCGGCTGAACGGTTATTGGCCGGACAAATTTTAGAGGCTTTATCAACCGACTGGTACTTTTTTTTTCTCATTCTACGGTGGCCACCAGGGATTCACATCTTTAACCTCATATTTTTGAATAATTAACTGGTTATTTGTTAAAAATTATTACTGCAAAAATTTTGCCATGCGTGTAATCGTACACGTGGGTTTGGCGATAATGTCGTCTGTAAGGTTTAAAGTCGCTGGTTTTTTTGTGAAATATACTGTTACCATTTGCAACGAGCATGCATATGTAATGAGTAACTGAATATGTATTTAAAACGTTTGTATTAACGTTTCATAAATTTATATCTTTATAATTACATACTATATTTGATAAGTTACTTAAGGTGCGTTATAGTTATTAATAAAAATAAAAATTAAGTTAACCGCTTGATAAAAAATGCAAAGGGAATTCATGAATTGAAGTACCAAAGAATGATAACAAACGGTTAATTATTTAATTCGTTTAAATGCAAAAAATATAAATATTTAAAACTTATTTTTCTTTCGTTAATATATCTGTATGGTAAATCGCGTAACTGTCTAGACATATTGAGTATATTATGATCTCAAAGTAGGCCTATCATAATTTAGTATCTAGGTAACGTTTAGTATGTATAAGTATTCGCTTACTCATGGTCTCAACTTAGGAGTCATATTATTTTGGCTTGTCCAGTATAGTTGAGCTGTCGATATCACCTATGCCTATAGTATATTAGCCAGAACAAACGCAGCGTGGGTCTTACTTAACTGGCCATACGATCACCTTTCACAATTTATCGTCACGTGAAGATGAATGTTGTTGTTCTGTTATGTTATGTTAGTAATAATTGTGCAAGTAGTAGTGAAAGGGACATATCCGCTGTTTTGCGAATACGTCAATCGTACTAGTTACGAATAACGATACGTTACGGGAATCGATTATACCGTTTAGCAAAGTTTATACTTTCAGAGGTTTTTAACCTTTTAAATCAGTTTCCAGTAACGAATAGTATGTTTTTTTAGTTAAGCAATACGAAAGCTAACGTGTAAACTTATGTGGTACAATGACGTTCGTGTATAGTTTTTAATTCAGGCAAGAAGGTAAAAGGTAAAGGTAGGAACCTTCCTACCTTTACCTAGAAGTGCTGAGAAAAATATTTTTATTTGCGGGAAAATTAGATGATTTTTCATTTGTATTATAAATATAAATTAAGTCTTTTTAATATAAATTTCAAAATTAAATGAACAATTATTAGTTTGAGCGTCAACAACGAACAAATAAAAAAATAAAAATGAATAGTTCATGAGTACATTTTACTTCGATTTAGATTGTTTTAAGCATCAGATCTATATATGAGAAAATAGTTCTTTCTACCTTTATACATATTACTGTATTATATATACATATACATATTATGTATACTACATACATTTCTACCTGTATATATATACTACATGTTACATATTTATGTTTCCATCGATAATTTCATTAACAAAGTTATATATCAAATATTTAAATACATATATGTATTATCTATTACGAACCTAAGTATTTTGTACTCAACAACACCTCTGAGTCCAAAACGTGGTAAAAAAACAATATTAAAACTAATGAAATTTTCTCTAGCAATCGAACCAAATCGAAGAAAACCAATGGAATAAGAGCAAAACTCAGTTTTTGTAATTCGAGTTCTTGTTGCTCTGAAGTTTCTCGCGCCTTGAATTGTTACATTTTTATAAAGTAGGTACTAGCTGACCCGGCGGACTTCGTTCCGCCTAACAGTCTAATAATATATTGTTAACTTTAGTTAAACTTAATTTAGGATTTCATTGAGGTAATTACATTAATACAACTTTATTTGCAAATACAGAAATGTTTTATTTCGTTGGTATCTAATACCAAATTTTTGGTTGCGAAAAAATCTAACTTTGGGTGCCAAACTCTTTGAAGATATATTTGATGGACTTTGACTTTCTTATCTTGTCAACAGATGGCACCACATGCTGTTTGCATTCGTAAAATTAATTAATTGTTATTCGATGACTTATCCAAAATTTTATTACTTATTCTGCTATACGGAGTGGAGAAGAACCCACCAAAAAAGAGATAAATAACATCGGTCCAGCCAATCTTGAGTAATAAGTGGTGTAACTAACACGACTTTGTTTTATATATTTAGATATATGTATATTTATGGAACATGATACAAACGAGCAGGCAGGCTATGGATAACACACTAACGCCGCCCATGGATACCTACAACAGCAGTGGGCGGGTGTCTAGCCGACCTATGAAGGAATGGTACGCTCTGTTCTTGAAGGGCCAGGTTGTTTGGGAATTATTCTACTGATAGCTAGTTCGCTAAAAAGGGATTACAGGGATGATGATGTTTGATGGGATTTTTATCACAATACGTAATGTAAGAAATAGGTATATTAGCTGTATATTCGTAGCAGGCGAGATATATTTTGGGTTATTGGGTCCGAGTTAAGTTGTAGTAGCAAAGCGTTCGCAAAAGGTTAAGTTTACGCCCTCATTAATACTTTTAATTTATTGAAAAGGTTTACTAACGAGCATTTCAATAAAATTTACACTTACACCTGAAAACAAAGTTAAACTAACTTTTAACAAGCAAACCGGCATACTTCATACTTAATAACCATTACTAAGAGAATTTTTAAAACTATAAATATAAGAGAGGTGGAAGGGAACTCTTTATTGACTATTATCAACACGAGAATTATGAGAGAATACAATATAAAGTTTTATGCAGAGTTTAGATTTGCAGTGAAATGAGGTGTTGCTTATACAAGAAAAATCATATCACACATGTCCTAAGTAAGAATTTTTACGGGATTAAATTAAGTACGTATAATAAATTCGTGCAATTTTTGGTAGGAAAAAACTGTCTCTTTATTTTTTCATTATCATACACACTATATAAATATTAAGTCATTTTTTTTACATTTAAATTAATTTTGGGACTTCAATATTTTAAATTATAATGCTAGAATTGTATGAAGGAAATATTATTTTGTTTTGGTTTCTTTTAGAATTTACACATATTATACATTACATGTTTTGTAATAATAAATAACATTCAAAGGTAAATTTAAATTATGTTTAAAGTTATTCGGACGAAAGTTGAACGTATTATAGTGAAGAGAGTAAAAGACATCAACGCAATCTTTGGTTTAACCCATATAATCTAAACTAACACTAGGAAAAAAAAAACAAAATATGCTGAGTATTAACTTTGAAGGCAGAAATTAACTATTTTTTAAAATATTTTTAGGATATTATGTCAAAGAGTTTAAATTTAACAATAAAATAAACTAAAATAATATACTGTTTAGTCGTATTATCAATTGGTTTTATTTTTTATTAATAATACAGCTAAAACATACCTTTCTGTGTGTCCGCTTTTGTGTTCATCGGCCATTATGGAGACTTTTCTCTTGCCGTCCGGTGTTGCTAAGTTGTTTTTTGCAGGAGGTATTTCATTATATCGTGGAGGTGGCGAGTTCTCTTGTCGTTGGTTTTGTAAATCACTGAGGTCGAAGGGGTATTCTTTTATAGCTGACATTCGGAGACTCGTTTTTCGAACCTGGAAAACGTGCGAAAAATTATTTATTAAATTATAAGAATTAATATGTCGGTGAAATTACATAAGAATAACGTTTAGATAATTAAAAGTTAGCTTACATAAGAAGATAAAGGTATCTTATTAAAATTTCATTTTTATTACTATATATATCGCGTAAATATATCCACTTAATGGAATTTATGTTACGTGCAGACGCGTGTTTCTTACAGCGTTACAAACAGAACTGAAAATTCGCGTCAATCTTCAGTGTATATTACAGACATGACATGTTTTGATTAGTGTAGGTTTGTGAGGAAAATTTCGTAAACAACCTTGGAGGAAATGGATAATTGATAAAGCACTTACACGGTTTCCATAATAAAAGATTGGACTACTTCGATTGTTACTATCATACCCTGCCCTAGAAATAAGTCATCACACTCTCTGGTAACATGAATAATAAGAATTTATTGTGATTTATATTTAGATAATCATCAAAATCTACTTAAATTATGATATAAGCTTTGTTTTATACACCATTATTGGGGGAATTAATAATGTTATTATAATACGTCATTTGCATTTTTAAATTTAAAATAAATATTTAATTTTTTTTTTTATATTGATGGCTATTATAAAAAAATGTAAACATTCGTAGTATATTTAAATAATAAATTTTTAATTTTGTTTATAACGCCTTCTCAAAAATTTCAAGCAGAAATGAAGAAAATCTTGAAAATTATATTTTTACGCATGCGTGTTTACGGCCATCACATTAGTAATTTCACAAAAACAAAACTATTTGTAGATTTTACTACTTAAAATTAAATTTATCATAAATTTAAAATATTTAGTCTTGTCCTTGATGTACATTTGAATTATTTTACAAAATGTATATTATGACAACTTGCCCTAATACTAACAAATATTGTGTAATAATAATGTGCTTAAAATTGGCAATGCTAAATAATTAATCAACAATGAAAAATTGTGAATTGTACTGCGAACTGCTTCCTCACTCAATAAATGCAATTTTATCGCTCGGGCATATTATGAACCATCTATTCTATTTATGACGATTTCTTTGGAATTATGACTGATTTATTATCTTTTTGCTGTTTGGCTGTGTGCCAAAATTCAATAATGATCAACGAACCCACATTTGGTTCAATGATTTTTTGGGATCAATTATTGGAATCTATAAAATTATTTCCCACACAAGAACTCTATCTTAACAGTTATTACTAATATCATAGAAATACACAATAATACCTACACATATAATTCTACAATAAAATAACAATTTACAAAAAAATAGTATATTAATAATAATAATAAAATTACTATTAATAATATTACTATTATTATTATTTATTATTATGTACTTATAACTAATACTATAACAACATATCCGTTGTTGTAACAAGAACTCTTGTGAATTCAGCTAGAGTACGAACAAAAAGGTCTATCTCCTATCACATATTTTAAAAGTGATCCATGAAAAGAAAACTGTAATATGATAGGGAAGGTATGGCAGATTTTTCTAAAATGTTCATTTAATCTAACATAATTTCATGATCATTCTTTTAGAACCGACTTGTTATGTAGTCTTGAACGATTAACCTTGGTTTATACGGGACTTGTAAATGAAAATATGTACATAATTTTTTTTTAGTTCTGCTCATATCGAAAACCTATTAAGTTCGATGTGAAAGTATTACTCTCAAAGAATATAATTTATATTTTTATTATTCTATTAGCCCCTTATGATGAATTTCCTTTAGAGCGTATTCGCCGTTTCATGCTTATTACCTCCACATTTTATTATCATTGAATGGCTTAAAGTAGTAAAACAATAGGACATTATAAAATAAACAATGTGAATTAAGTTAGAATGACATATTTCTATATAATATGTTGCATACATGACATGATGTGTAAATCAAATAAAAATAGCATCATTATCATAATTGAACAAAAAGAGGAAATTATCAAGTGTTAAATAAAGGATGCTCTTATCTATGTAACATTATATATTAATTAACATACGTTACGAAGACGGGTCGACTACAATGTTTCTAGATTTTTCCACTACTTAGAGAACTTTTCAGCAGGCTGAAATGTGATTTCTGACCGTTTCAGGGGAGGGTCAATCACATATTAGAAAATCGCAATTTACATAATGTTACCCTAGTTTTCAGGAGCCTGAAACATTTTTTTCAGGCCGTTTCAGAACACGTGTAGTCGAATGGTACACTTTTCAGGAAACCCGTTTTCAGGCGTTTTCAGGCCTGGTTATACCCCTTTGATGAAGGAATGTTCTAGAACGAATTTTCTAGGTGTGGGACAAGGACGGAATGATACGCGAGAGAGAGGGAAGATCGGAACCTTCTCGAAGCTAGACCGAGCACTCTAGAACGCCGTACGACAAGGACGGAGCAATGTGCGAAAGGGATAGCTAGTACGCACGTTCTAGAATTGTGCGATCGCTACTCAGTTGCGCTGCCGCCTAGAGAGTTCTCGAACATCGCTCCCAGGGATATATAAGCGAGCCGAAACGCGACCAGTTAGTTCAGTTTTGAATGCGATACCAAGCGATAAACACCGGAGTGACAAAGTGCGAATATAGTGAAGAAAAGTGAATACAAGTACTGTGTGAAGTGCGTGTTATTAGAGTAATTAGTGACAGTATTTTGTGTGTTTATTTAGTGAATTTTTGTGCGTAATTTCCAGTTTTTAGTGTTAACAAATTCCTCGTAGATTTAATTGAAAATAAACCCTTGAAGAGATTTACGGCGTTTCTATCCGATCCCCTAGCTCGTAACATTTTGGTGTCAGAAGTGGGATAGAAAAATGCCAATTACTCCAAGGGAGAATCAAGAGGAGTTTGTAGCTGAGTCTTCAGCTGCGGAGGGAGTCCAGACAAGGGCGCAATCAGCACGCGACGCTGCCCGACGACAAAGTTTCGATGCGAACCGCGGGATGGGTGAAAGCAACGATGCCAACATGCTTCTTGTTCTGCGCCAAATGATGGAAGAACAGGCACGACGTCAAGAGGAACAGGCACGACGTCAAGAGGAACAGGCACGACAAATGATGGAGGAACAGGCACGCCGGCAAGAAGAACAGGCACGCCGTCAAGAAGAACAGGCACGCCTAATGATGGAAGAACAGGCTCAGACACGTCGTATGATGGAGGAACAGGCACGGCGTCAAGAGGAGCAGGCTCATCAGATGATGGAGGAACAGGCCCGCCGTATCGGAGAAAAACTTGGTGACCTGAAAATACAGGTAGAGAAAAAGATCGAGAACTTGGAATCTGATATGGACTGCAAATTTTCGAAACAGGACAAACGTATTCTCGGATTAGAACAAGAGATGCAGTGCCTGAAGACCAAAGGTGTCGTAACGACTGTAGCACCATCTGGAAATCTGAAAGTACCTCCCTTTGACGGTACATCTTCCTGGGGCGCGTACAAAATACAGTTTGAGACTGTGGCAGAGTCAAACGGGTGGAATGACGATCAGGCTGTCACCGCCCTTATGTTGGGACTGCGAGGCGAAGCCCTGGACGTGTTAGAAGTCATGACAGGTAAAGTGACACTGACGCGCCTGCTGGATGCTCTGGAGTCACGTTATGGGGACTCAAATTTGGAGCCAGTCTATAGGGCTCAATTACGGGAGAGAGCGCAGCGACCGAGTGAGAGCTTGCAAGAATGGGGTCTGGAAATAGAGAAGCTGGTAAGAAAAGCCTACGCATCCTTACCAGATGTAGCAGACAAGATATTAGTGCAAACCTTCATTGACGGAATAAGAGATCGTGAAGTCAGGATTAGTGTGAATCTTGGTCACCACAAGAACCTGAAGGATGCTCTTGCCCATGCGCTGGAGGTAGAGGCGATTCGGAAAGATTCTCGACCTTACCGCATTAGGGCTGTCACGGAAAAACCAAACTCGTGTCAACGTGGACCAACCTGTTACCTCTGCGGGGAAGTGGGGCACATGAGGTTTTCGTGCCCAAAGAAAGACTTCCGAGGTGATGTGAAGGTTAGACGCGGGAATACCTTGGTTATCGACGGAGTTGTCAATGGAACTAAGTGTGACCTAACACTGGATACCGGAGCTTCACGAACCGTAATCAGATACCAACTTCTGAAGTCATTTTATGGAAGCCCTTCTCGAGGAATTGTACAGCTTGTTACAGCTACAGGTCAGCGTATAACCGATCGGGGAGAAGGTATCGCAACCTTCAAGATTGGTGGAAGATTTTACAGACACAAGGTTGTTCTTGCCGACATAGTAGATGACTGCATAATCGGGTTAGACTTTATGAAGCTGTACAATTGTAAAATAGATCTGGAAAAAGGAATCTTTAAGTGTGGAGAACAGGAAGTTTGCTTAAAAGGACACTCTACAAATAGTGGTTTTGACGTCTGTAGAGTTATCAATGTGGACGGACAGGCCAGTAATCAACAAGAGTGGAAAGTTACTGAGACCTATGAGGAAGCCTTGTCAAGACAACTATCAAAGGCAGAGGAACAATTAAATAAACTTTCTGACATGATATCTACCCACGAAAGAGAACTAAGAAGAAGTTCAGATGTGTCTCAACAACACTGTGAAAAGGTCAACAAACAGGACGGAAGGGAGATTGGCCATGTGCGAATTCTTAGAACAGACACCATTCGTTCAGATTGGGGTGGAAAATTGATGCAGATAGCACAGCAAGAAGATTGTGACATTAAACCAATTCTGGTTTGGATGAAATCATCAGCTGTCAAGCCGCAGTGGAGTAAAGTCGCATCTACAAGTACCACTACTAAGAGTTACTGGGCTCAATGGGATAGTTTAGTTCTACATAATGGAGTGTTATGTCGCAAATTGAAAAATGCTCAAGGCGATCATTTGCAGATAGTTGTGCCAAGATCCAAGGTTCGCGACATATTGGAAATGTTTCATACTGACTTGTCTAGTGGACATTTAGGAGTAAAGAGGACTCTTATGAAGATTAAAGAAATATTTTATTGGATACACTATCGTGAAGATGTTGAAGACTGGATCAAGAAATGTAAAGATTGTGCAGCTATTAAGGATTCGCAGACTCGGTCTCCATGGGAAAGGATAACGGTGAATGAAAGTGATGATGCTCGGGACGAGCATGTCTAAGGAGGGGGTAGTGTTACGAAGACGGGTCGACTACAATGTTTCTAGATTTTTCCACTACTTAGAGAACTTTTCAGCAGGCTGAAATGTGATTTCTGACCGTTTCAGGGGAGGGTCAATCACATATTAGAAAATCGCAATTTACATAATGTTACCCTAGTTTTCAGGAGCCTGAAACATTTTTTCAGGCCGTTTCAGAACACGTGTAGTCGAATGGTACACTTTTCAGGAAACCCGTTTTCAGGCGTTTTCAGGCCTGGTTATACCCCTTTGATGAAGGAATGTTCTAGAACGAATTTTCTAGGTGTGGGACAAGGACGGAATGATACGCGAGAGAGAGGGAAGATCGGAACCTTCTCGAAGCTAGACCGAGCACTCTAGAACGCCGTACGACAAGGACGGAGCAATGTGCGAAAGGGATAGCTAGTACGCACGTTCTAGAATTGTGCGATCGCTACTCAGTTGCGCTGCCGCCTAGAGAGTTCTCGAACATCGCTCCCAGGGATATATAAGCGAGCCGAAACGCGACCAGTTAGTTCAGTTTTGAATGCGATACCAAGCGATAAACACCGGAGTGACAAAGTGCGAATATAGTGAAGAAAAGTGAATACAAGTACTGTGTGAAGTGCGTGTTATTAGAGTAATTAGTGACAGTATTTTGTGTGTTTATTTAGTGAATTTTTGTGCGTAATTTCCAGTTTTTAGTGTTAACAAATTCCTCGTAGATTTAATTGAAAATAAACCCTTGAAGAGATTTACGGCGTTTCTATCCGATCCCCTAGCTCGTAACATTTTGGTGTCAGAAGTGGGATAGAAAAATGCCAATTACTCCAAGGGAGAATCAAGAGGAGTTTGTAGCTGAGTCTTCAGCTGCGGAGGGAGTCCAGACAAGGGCGCAATCAGCACGCGACGCTGCCCGACGACAAAGTTTCGATGCGAACCGCGGGATGGGTGAAAGCAACGATGCCAACATGCTTCTTGTTCTGCGCCAAATGATGGAAGAACAGGCACGACGTCAAGAGGAACAGGCACGACGTCAAGAGGAACAGGCACGACAAATGATGGAGGAACAGGCACGCCGGCAAGAAGAACAGGCACGCCGTCAAGAAGAACAGGCACGCCTAATGATGGAAGAACAGGCTCAGACACGTCGTATGATGGAGGAACAGGCACGGCGTCAAGAGGAGCAGGCTCATCAGATGATGGAGGAACAGGCCCGCCGTATCGGAGAAAAACTTGGTGACCTGAAAATACAGGTAGAGAAAAAGATCGAGAACTTGGAATCTGATATGGACTGCAAATTTTCGAAACAGGACAAACGTATTCTCGGATTAGAACAAGAGATGCAGTGCCTGAAGACCAAAGGTGTCGTAACGACTGTAGCACCATCTGGAAATCTGAAAGTACCTCCCTTTGACGGTACATCTTCCTGGGGCGCGTACAAAATACAGTTTGAGACTGTGGCAGAGTCAAACGGGTGGAATGACGATCAGGCTGTCACCGCCCTTATGTTGGGACTGCGAGGCGAAGCCCTGGACGTGTTAGAAGTCATGACAGGTAAAGTGACACTGACGCGCCTGCTGGATGCTCTGGAGTCACGTTATGGGGACTCAAATTTGGAGCCAGTCTATAGGGCTCAATTACGGGAGAGAGCGCAGCGACCGAGTGAGAGCTTGCAAGAATGGGGTCTGGAAATAGAGAAGCTGGTAAGAAAAGCCTACGCATCCTTACCAGATGTAGCAGACAAGATATTAGTGCAAACCTTCATTGACGGAATAAGAGATCGTGAAGTCAGGATTAGTGTGAATCTTGGTCACCACAAGAACCTGAAGGATGCTCTTGCCCATGCGCTGGAGGTAGAGGCGATTCGGAAAGATTCTCGACCTTACCGCATTAGGGCTGTCACGGAAAAACCAAACTCGTGTCAACGTGGACCAACCTGTTACCTCTGCGGGGAAGTGGGGCACATGAGGTTTTCGTGCCCAAAGAAAGACTTCCGAGGTGATGTGAAGGTTAGACGCGGGAATACCTTGGTTATCGACGGAGTTGTCAATGGAACTAAGTGTGACCTAACACTGGATACCGGAGCTTCACGAACCGTAATCAGATACCAACTTCTGAAGTCATTTTATGGAAGCCCTTCTCGAGGAATTGTACAGCTTGTTACAGCTACAGGTCAGCGTATAACCGATCGGGGAGAAGGTATCGCAACCTTCAAGATTGGTGGAAGATTTTACAGACACAAGGTTGTTCTTGCCGACATAGTAGATGACTGCATAATCGGGTTAGACTTTATGAAGCTGTACAATTGTAAAATAGATCTGGAAAAAGGAATCTTTAAGTGTGGAGAACAGGAAGTTTGCTTAAAAGGACACTCTACAAATAGTGGTTTTGACGTCTGTAGAGTTATCAATGTGGACGGACAGGCCAGTAATCAACAAGAGTGGAAAGTTACTGAGACCTATGAGGAAGCCTTGTCAAGACAACTATCAAAGGCAGAGGAACAATTAAATAAACTTTCTGACATGATATCTACCCACGAAAGAGAACTAAGAAGAAGTTCAGATGTGTCTCAACAACACTGTGAAAAGGTCAACAAACAGGACGGAAGGGAGATTGGCCATGTGCGAATTCTTAGAACAGACACCATTCGTTCAGATTGGGGTGGAAAATTGATGCAGATAGCACAGCAAGAAGATTGTGACATTAAACCAATTCTGGATTGGATGAAATCATCAGCTGTCAAGCCGCAGTGGAGTAAAGTCGCATCTACAAGTACCACTACTAAGAGTTACTGGGCTCAATGGGATAGTTTAGTTCTACATAATGGAGTGTTATGTCGCAAATTGAAAAATGCTCAAGGCGATCATTTGCAGATAGTTGTGCCAAGATCCAAGGTTCGCGACATATTGGAAATGTTTCATACTGACTTGTCTAGTGGACATTTAGGAGTAAAGAGGACTCTTATGAAGATTAAAGAAATATTTTATTGGATACACTATCGTGAAGATGTTGAAGACTGGATCAAGAAATGTAAAGATTGTGCAGCTATTAAGGATTCGCAGACTCGGTCTCCATGGGAAAGGATAACGGTGAATGAAAGTGATGATGCTCGGGACGAGCATGTCTAAGGAGGGGGTAGTGTTACGAAGACGGGTCGACTACAATGTTTCTAGATTTTTCCACTACTTAGAGAACTTTTCAGCAGGCTGAAATGTGATTTCTGACCGTTTCAGGGGAGGGTCAATCACATATTAGAAAATCGCAATTTACATAATGTTACCCTAGTTTTCAGGAGCCTGAAACATTTTTTCAGGCCGTTTCAGAACACGTGTAGTCGAATGGTACACTTTTCAGGAAACCCGTTTTCAGGCGTTTTCAGGCCTGGTTATACCCCTTTGATGAAGGAATGTTCTAGAACGAATTTTCTAGGTGTGGGACAAGGACGGAATGATACGCGAGAGAGAGGGAAGATCGGAACCTTCTCGAAGCTAGACCGAGCACTCTAGAACGCCGTACGACAAGGACGGAGCAATGTGCGAAAGGGATAGCTAGTACGCACGTTCTAGAATTGTGCGATCGCTACTCAGTTGCGCTGCCGCCTAGAGAGTTCTCGAACATCGCTCCCAGGGATATATAAGCGAGCCGAAACGCGACCAGTTAGTTCAGTTTTGAATGCGATACCAAGCGATAAACACCGGAGTGACAAAGTGCGAATATAGTGAAGAAAAGTGAATACAAGTACTGTGTGAAGTGCGTGTTATTAGAGTAATTAGTGACAGTATTTTTGTGTGTTTATTTAGTGAATTTTTGTGCGTAATTTCCAGTTTTTAGTGTTAACAAATTCCTCGTAGATTTAATTGAAAATAAACCCTTGAAGAGATTTACGGCGTTTCTATCCGATCCCCTAGCTCGTAACATACGTTTGACAATTTCAATATCCTTGATATAGTAGATAATTAATTAGAAATATTTTTTTTAGGAGGTTCCTACTTTCTAGGTGCATCCAAAACATCTGGTACTAATTTTAAAACTAATGATTTATGTCATTTAATCATCTTCAATGTGGTGTATATTTTATTATCCTTTACAGTACACTATTAGAGGCGCATTTCACAAAAGCGAACTAGTTATACATATGTATATGTATGTATATTCAATTATTTTTTTAAACTTTTTGTACTAGAATTAAAAGAAAATTGAAACGGTTCGAGTTCTTATTAAGATAGTCATTTAGTTGCATCTGGAATAGAAATTATCTGTCCATCCCTCCAAGAAGAGGTAAAAGTGCAAGTAGAAATATAAATGTTAAAAAAATTAGTAATGCTAGAAAGGATAACAAATAAGATTGTGTCCATGGGCGTAACTTTAAATCAGGAAACCTCCTTCAGGTTTGCCGCCTATCGAGACTCCACATAGCAGAGTTTCGACTTCATACACAAGTTTGTTCCGGTACCGATCGACAACTGCCCGAGAAATGCACGTCTAAAGTAAAGAGTATCCCCAGTGCTATCATCAGCATAGCAAAGAATGTTGCTAAATTTGCTGTCACCAGTTGTATACCTAACACATAGGTGGGCAGAGGCAATTGAGTCCAAGAGGGATGCGCTGGCGGTAAGTTTGGATATAGCGAAAGCCTTCGATCGGGTGTGGCACAGAGCACTGCTCTCGAAGCTTCCAGCCGTTCCGAACTTAAACCTTGGAATCCTTTGGATCCTACAAGGCTGTGTCCTATCCCCGACCCTGTTTTTTCTGCATATCAATAATATCTTGCAACTGAGCAACATTCGTTGCACTGGGGATACTCTTTACACTGACCGGGCAGGTATTTCTCGTGCAGTTGTCGACGAGTACCGGAACAAACTTGTGTCTGTAGTCGAAACTCTGCTACGTGGAGTCTTGGACTGAAGTAGACTAAACTACTCCAATTATCCGACTAATCTAGTCCAATTTAACCCCAAGACGACACAAGCTTGCGCGTTTTCCGCAAAAAAAAGAGTGTACCATTTCTTAAAAGGCCCGCAACGAACTTACGAGCCTCCTGGCAATGTGAGTGTCCATGGGCGGCGGTGATGCATCGATTGGCCAGAAACTGGCTTGAGAGTCTGCCGCATAATTTGTCGAAGAGCTCATAGCCTGGAAGCTTCGAGATAAGGAATGAATATCCAAGGAAGGTTGTGCTTTGGGAACAGAACGTTGCCAGAGTATGATTTCCGGCATCGAAGAAGAGACAGCCCTAAAGGCCGGCCTTCTTGTTTGCGGTGTGGGCCAGCAAGTCTTACTCCCTGTGGAATGGACGGCTGACAGAAATTCCCTTGGACAGCTTTGGCGAGAGTCCAGAAGGCTCGAGTCCCCGAAAGGAGGCGGGCCAATCTCTCGCCAAATCTGGTGAAATCACAAAAAACATATCTTTTTTGTATTTGCTGGTATTGGCATCACGAGATTGGCTGGCATTAGGGCCGTGGAGGGCGCGTTGTAGGCACAGTACTCCGGACCACGCAATGATGACGAACCCAGAGGAGGGTATACGGAGACTTGGTAGTTCTCTGGATGCGAGGTCAACAGAAGGTCCAACAAAGATGGTTTGTGACCATCCACATCTGATATTCGCGTTATTTCGGGAACAAATGGTTTCCGGTTCAGGTTCGGGTCATATGCCAAGGCAAAGTCATGAAAGGACCTACCCGCACACTTTGTCACTTTTCCAAGTGACTTCCAACTTCCGACTTCCAACTCCGACTTCCAACTTCCGACTTCCAACTTTTCCACCAAGTAACGTAGTTTCATACACAGCATTCCAGTCAATATTGTGGGTCATACAAATCTCTGACATATTTAGTGCGTGCAAGAGAAGAAAAAACTCATTGCCACCTAGGATACACCTCGTGTTTTTTACCTATAAGTATTAAAACGATAACATTTTTTTAGCTACGATAACTAAAACATACACAAACAATAGTAAGCAATTTTTTTTACTTTGGGAACAAGACTTGGACTGGCAAATCAGTTTGGGGATGGTAAATAGTAGTTGAATCTGCAACTGACTGAGGCTTTTTAGTGGCATAACAATAAAATAGTTACAGTACAAATGTAGATTTAAAAACAAGAGATTCTGTTGTGAAAGTGTATCAATTTATAGCTTGTTAAACACCTAACGACTTATCTTTTAATTAATTTAGATTTTAGTTCAAGCCATTAACATTTCTAAATTGCCCCCGTACGTACACCGAATAATGGTCTGTATTTATTTGCTTAAGTGGTCTCATCACAATCACATGATCTCTCACGAGTAGCCGGCCACGAGTTTTCAATCATAACAACTGTTTATTTGTGGTACTTGTCTCGACATTCTGTCGTATTAGACCCCAATGGTTGTTTAATTGGATTGCTCATGCATGTTACTTACGAAATCGTTTATGTATGGCCGCGTTCCTATGAACGCATGCATCTTTAACTATTTAAAGAGATAGAATTATAGGTCACAATAGACACCCAGGTTGAATATAAATTTTAACAGACTATAACGGGTTTATACATAACAATTTTGAAAGTTATAAAGCTGTTTCATAATCGGGGGGAAATCAAACGTAACGAGAACAGTAGTAAGGTAATTTTTAAGTTATGATAGACAAACGTTGAATCGTTAGAGTGTGGTAATGGTTCTAAAAATGAAGAAAAATAAAGTAAGGGTTATGTGAATTTAGACTTTTATATATTATCTATTTAAAGTTCCGATACTACGCTCTGAATACTATTTACACAGTGAGATTACAGTTTTACTAACTTATTAAACCAAATACTTTTAAATCTCCAAAAGTTTAACAAATAGACAATAAAGCAACGTAAATCATTAACTCATAAATTTATTTATTTGTAATGTCATTAAGATTTACTACATATACACTTCTATATAGTATACTTAATCACTAACCGAACCGAAAAATTAATAATAACACATTTGTTGTTAAGTAATTTATTTATAGAAATTGTAAAATAATTTCATTACAAAAATAACTGCAGCTGATGCTGTTACAAATCTAGTACATATGTTTTCTCGATATACCTACATAGCTAACAAAAGATATCAGGAAAATCCCAATACAAAATCAATGTCCATCTGTTAGTTATTAAAGTCAAGGGCAGCTTAATAACTTTCAGGCGCTATGAAAATATTACGAACGTGTTTATTGTTAATATTGCTGTTAACTCGTTTGTCACTGAATACCAATATCAAATACTGTAATGCATAGATCACGATCGTCAAATTAACATCAGTTACAAGATAAGCATTAGGTAAATAGCATTTATCACTATTAGTTGCGGATAAACGCTGTTTAGTTATTAGATAGATAATTAGCGGACTTAATTATTTAGATAAATATACGAGTAGTTAAGACTATATATATCTTGTTTAATACATTTAATTAAAAGATAAATATAATCTCTTGTATAATAAGTCAGTCATAGGATGGACCCAAAATCTATAATCTACAACTATACTAATAATTAAATTGTAAATTAACTAAATATTTTAATATTCTAGCAACATTTCAAAACAATATTATAAGTTAAAATGGAATAGTCAATTGCCAAATAATGTTAAATAAGCAATAAAATCAGAAAAACTAAATAACATACCATTTTAGTCCCATATGATGTTTATGACTAGGATTAAAAACCACAAATGAATATACAAGTAACACCTATATGTTAGCTGTGTTACAATGTCCTGCGTATACTAACGTCTTTAACATGGTTAGGTTACACAATCCCAGTTGAATCAATTAGGATACGACGACGCGTCAACGAATCAATTTTTGACGCTGCAATTAATTATTTTAATAAAACCATGTTATGCATACTTAAAAAATCTATCAAGAATAATATAGATTTAAGATATTAAAGATCGCCTGGAGTTTTAAAAAGAAGTAAGTAAGAAAGAAAACTTGTAAGTATTTCCCTAAAGGGCTCCGTTTACCTACCTCGTAGTATGATATTTTTAACTTAATATGATGATGTAGTATTTCATTTACTATGGTGTCTTATAAATGATTGAAGCCTTGTGTAATACCTGTACGTATGTGAGAAAATGTTTAGTGAATAATAATAATTATTTTCCACGCGTAAGCGAATATATTTTGATTAATTTATATATAAAATCCACACGATGTGATAATGAAGCTACTGAAGTGATATAAATTGTTTCAATTTTAACAAACCTTATAAATCCATAAGACGAGTGCTGATAAATCCAAGTATAACGCATACAATGAATAATATGAAAATAGAGTTTATCACGGTGAATTTTTCCTTGTGAATTAATATTCTTTCATTGTTATGATCCAGCTATATTGTTGCGTGACACTGGTCATCTCAAGGAAATATTCTTGAGAAATACAAAACTGGTTACCGTGCGTAAATAAACGCGTGTTGAATTTCCTTTGTTATTTTTTAATTTTGCTTGAAAATAGCCTAAATTGTTAGCAAGGTTTTGTCATGGTCGTGGTGGGCGATGTTTTTAGTTCATATCTGTTGTATTTGTATGGTGTGCGCTTACTTTTTTAATTTGTTATAGAAAACGATGCAGTGTAGATGAGACATCGTATCAGTTATCTTAGCTAATATATATTTTTGTTTTTGCAAATTTATTATCAGACCTTTTAAATTACACTTACATCACTGTGCTGTCGATCGGCTTAATGAGTAGGTGATTTGATTAGATTTTGTTACTGCATATTAACGAGGCAAAGTTCGTTAAGACTATAGTATAATATAATATAAGGGAGTTTTCACCATCAATTATTAGAACAAAGTGTCATCAATTATATTAAAATAAAATAAACACTGCAATAAATTAAATTAAATTGAAGAATAATAGCCGGAACTAAATGTTGACTTCCGTAGGTGAAAAACGCAAAAGGCACTAGATTGATAATAATTTATAATTGAAATATAATTGTAACTTAAGCTGTGAAGTTTTATGCATATGGATAGCTTACGCTAAATATAAAATTAAATCACATTTTGTTACTTACTTTTTAAAAATCTAAATCTATTATTGGCTTGTAATAAAATAGTATACTAAATATATACTTTTATTAGTTAATATAAGTGTGTGTCAATAAAACATTAATTTTTAGAATTTTTTTTTGGAAAACAAAATTTCGTCACAATTAATTTGAATAAAAACTAATAAAATTCATTTATAATTTATTTGTAATAAATTCCAAATACAAACCACCGTTTAAAAAAATATTTTTTATTACGAACTTTATTACAATTTATAAATCTACAAACTCGATCAATTTATTACGTAGCTGTTACTGAAACGTAGGAGATTATAAAAATGTGTGCAAATTTCTTAAAAGAAGAATGTGAAGAAGAATCTGAGAATATTTAATAAAAAGTTTATTAAATATTCTCATTTATAATAATAAATATATTTGCAGGCATCGACACTTACCGTTTTTATAAGTAATCAATTCCTGTAATCACAGATTATTCAACACAACCTAGAGTGCAGTATTCGAGTACAGTGTAGGCACTACGTTGATGTTGGTTAACTTCTATATTATATCTGTGCCGGTTTACACGATCTTGAAGTCACGAGGTATTTAAGGTGATAAATAATATGAACAAGAGGTTATATTTCCTTCAGTGCGGCAAACCGTTGGCAATTTTCACTAATATAAAGGCCGTCTTTGACAGCGCTTTGGCTGCCTTCGCTGGTTACATATTTAATATGTTTTTTGGGGCGGTCATGACTTTGAAATGCGTTCTTTGGGTATGCGGTTGGGACAAATATCGATGAAGCACACGCAGAAAGTATATTTCAATAATAGTAATTACATAAAATAAAACACATTTTATCTAAAGACAAACTACGGGTAACCGCGTTTTGGGAATCATGATAAAATGAGTATTTGTGATTCACAGTTTAGTAGGATACATTAATTTTCTTCAAATTAAATATGAATAATACTTACAATATTTATACAAATATATTTTTATTTTTTATATTTATTGTTATTTTATATATACATAAAAAAATAATAAAACATCCTTACCTAGGATTAATATTATCACAGAAAGTACATTTCAACAAGTCCATAGAAGTTGTCAGTAAAACACTTATAACACTTCCTGAGGTGCCACTTATGTTTAACAAATAATAACATTATGTACAAAATAAATGGGACATATATTTATTTATAAATGAGCTAAAATAACAATAAGAATTTTTGTTACGACTTTTCTTATATTCGTCTAAAAAACTGGCGCAAATAGAAAACATATTTTTAATTCGCCCACAGGGTATACCGCCAAAAAAAGTTTACAATCTTATTGCATATATTTAAAAAACAGTCCAAATTTGCGATCTTTAAAACGAAAAATGAAGTGATTATTTAATTTGCATGAAAATATATTTTTCTATTGCAATACATGGCAAGTTTCTTTAACAATTATCAATGTAAAATACAAAACGGGCAATTTTTGCAGTGCATTCCAATATTCACTAATCTTTATATATACGCCGGGCCTGATTTAGTAACGCATGCGCAATAATTAGTATTTCGCGCCATTAATATATAAGTTGTCTCCGTGGTTATTTATTACTTAAATCTATATATATATATATTTATTATTATTATAGTTTAATGCAAATTCTACAAACTGCGGCATAACCGTCCACAAATCACTTCATATTTTTTATTGACATATATTTTGACATTATCTCAAATGATAATGAATTGATCTCGTTTCTTTAAGTACTTTTGGATTTCTCATCATCTAGAAGTAAAATTACAAAAATAATACAGATACGATGAATAAAACAAAATCACTGATACATAAACTTCGAAATGATAACCATAAGGAGACCACAAGCCCAAAAAAAAAAAAACCCCCCCCCCCCCCCCCCCCCAAACCCCCCCCAAACCCCTAACGAAAATAATACCGCAGTGATCACAGATTAACAATGACCATTTAACTCCTTATGTAAACAAGAGTCTCGTGACTCGGTCATTTTTCCTTCAAAATAAATTATATCATAACTCGGTTTCAAGTAAATGTTTGTCATTACCAGTTTTATCTTAGTACTTCACATCTCCTTGCCCGAATACAGCTAACTCTTGTTAATTTTGAAATATGTATTTGTGTTCTTTTAAGTCGTATAGTAATCAAATATATACGTTAGACCTTTTTGAGTAACATAGTAGCTGATTCTCTGTGTGCTTTAATATTATGGTAGAGATAAGACCTTTTGGCCAATTGTGCGGCTGTCAACCCTGCTGGTTTGCAAACCTCAAATGTGCACCAATTTTTATTTATATTTGCGCAAACATTTGATCGTGTTTATAACCATCGTAAGCCAGACCCAAAAAATCTACAGCGAGTGTCAGGCAAGGCTAATTTAACTAAAGGAAAATCTATGAAACATATGTAGAAATCTCAGTCCAACATCAATGAAGGGTTATAGCTCAAATAAACTATTACATACCATTAATACATACATGTGTACCAACATGGAGGTTATCAAAAACACGTTAAAGTTATTAACAGTACCTTTTTTGTGCTATTTTGTTATACATATGATATGTAAATAAAAAGAAAATTAGTCAAAAACGTGATTGATACTAAATAGGTTTTAATGTTATATTCTCACGTGAATCAGGCAATTAACCTTCTAAATCGGTAAACAAACAAGAGCTATGTTTTTAATATTTAAATAATGATTTCTTAATAATCTATAAATGTACAAGCCGTATTAGAATGGCAACAAATATAACACTGTCTCGGCTTCGTGCGGCATCATGTTTTTTGTTGTTTGAAAGGGATGAGAATTTTCTAAATATTATTTCCATGTTTATAACATGCATAAATACAAATCTTACCTCTTTAGAGCAATAGTATCTATTGTTTTGGCCCACAAGGGTCAAAGTTATAATTATTTATATATAATTTACCTAAAAAGTAAGTCGAGACAATCTCAGAATATTTTGCTTAGTACTAGACTATGTTACATTGTATATATGTATAATAAACTTCCCCATGAATCTTCTATATATATTTTATATATTGGTGAAAAGCGCAAATATATCGTGCAGTAGTTTTTAAGTTAATCGTAAACAGTAAAGCAGATAGACACGGCGGAGGACTTGTTTCTTTATAATATAAAATATAAAAGTTAGACATACGCATTTTTGTACGCATTAAGATTTTATCTTAGATTGAGATCTAGAAGCTTTTCTCTAGATCTCAATTATATATATTATATCTCTTATACTTATATATATAAAGTATATTACTTTATATTCACAAATCGTATGACATAGAATTAAAATGTCAATTTTAGTATGTCATATGACTATGCCAAATAAACAATAATAATAAAAAGGAAAATTATTCGGTCTATTGTCACTATATCTTACGAAAAGTATCTCCTTTATAGATTTATTGCTTTCTCGTGAATTTCGTTTACACTTTTAACAAGTATTTATCTTATATTATGCGACTAAAAGTGTTCACTAAAGATTGCTAAAGTATAAAAAGATTACAAAAACAGGCTCGCAAAGTCAAATGTAGGAGATCGTCAATAAAATTATTTTAGTTTTAAATAATATATGAAACGATATATCAGAAAATCTTTCCAGCAGCTAATTAATAAATATTATAGCACCATAATTTAGATTTGTTTTAACATGAAAATTGTAAAAAAACAGCAAATGTTGTAAAACATATATACGTATATGTAAACGTGTCCATCAAAGACAAAATGATTGTTTCATTGCGGAGTTATTTTTTATCTCCTAAGATATCGATCCATGTCATGGGCAATTTTGCCAAAATAAGAGAAAATACTTGCGTGTACTTATTTAATAAATAATTTTTATAAATTCTCAAATAATGTATTATTTGAAATTTATAATGCATTATTTTATAGTGGGTCAACCTTAAAATTTTGTCATACCTGATTTTTGCATACCTTTAACCGTTTAAGCAGTGCAAACTCATGTATTTCAGTTTATGCAACAGTTGTATGCTACCTAGTAAAAAACTTGAGATCATAACGTTAAAAAAACTCCTTAGCTTTGTAATATTAGTAGAGATAATCAGCCAAGTTGCCAGTGCAGTAGACTGGTAAGACGCAGCCAAATATTTATAATTAAGAAAATACTTGACAAGTTGTAGCCAGACTAAGTAATCGTTTGACCGTTGTTGTGTTCAATCGTTGAGAATTCTTACGTATTAAAAAAATATTTAAAAATACATGATGACAAAATGCTGAAGCAATGGGCACAATCTGAGTTTAAAAAAAATATTTATCAATTTTTAGGTCGAGTCAGAATAAGGTTGTACGTTTTTTGATATATATGTCAAATTAAATTAAGATGACTCTGATTTAGTCTTTAGTGTAAGATTGATAAATATGTACTTGACAATCTAATCAGATTATTTGTTTTTTAAGAACAAACACTATCGATTGACGCACTTTTGATCCACTTATCAGCAGAAGAAAAATAATTTAAAATAATATTATTTTATTGTATGTAGTTGGTATATTTCATTCCAGTGTATATGTCGCAGCCAACTAGTTTAATCAGGCCGTTCAATTAACAGCCTAGCCGTTTAACTAAACGGCGCCGATTAACTAACGGCCTGAAAGATGTTCAGCCAGTTGATTAAACTGCTAGGCAAATGACTTGGATAGATGAGGTTTCAATACTTGCCTAGCCTGTTAATAAAAATTTAGTTCCACTTTTTGCCATCTAAAAAAAAATAAAATCAAAAACTTTAATAGTGTTTTCCAAATTTTCATGAAAACCAAGTACAATGGAAGAGTGTAGTGACAATAATAATGTAAATTTGGGTAACGATTTAGAAATACGTCGCCCGAATTTGATGATACTGATTATGTAGGTGTCTCGGAACCTTGATTGGAACACCTCTAACTGAGTGTCCAAGTGACATTTGGCATAAAAAATAGTTCTTTAATTTATCGAATATTTCCTAATTTTTGAATTTTAAAGTTTTAGACTTGTTAGAGAAATGACTCTATCGTACGAATGGCCTTAGCATTAGCCCGCCAGTTTATTAAATGTTGTAACAAACGCTACGGCTGAATGTCTTTCAGGCCGTTAGTTAAACGGCGTCGTTTAGTTAAACGGCTAGGCAGTTAATTGAACGGCTAATAAAGCTAGTTGGCTGCGACATATATAGCGAAGGCAATCAAAAAAGTGATCCAACATTAATTAGAACATTGATATATATTACATAAATAATATTGATAATATATATCCCACATCATGAAAAGTAAAAAATAAACATGATAGAAGCATGATCGGGGTATTTTTTATATAAAAGATAGAAGACACATTATAGTCTTTAAAAAAAACAAAATTTGAATATTTTAAGGTTTATATTATACTATTAGTTAGGTTTACATTATATTTATTCGCGGCAACTAGAAGTGATCAGAATCACATGATAACTACGTCACTGTCTCTGGTATTTATTACCTTAGCATTTGTTATTTAATAGTGTTCGTGATACCTCCTCTTAGTTAAAGTATTACATTTTTTATTTAATTTATTCGCATCAATATCCATAGATATGATCTCTGATGAAATTTGTAATTTTTCCTTTTAACTCAGTATAAATTTATTAAATACGAACTATAAACGTTTTAAAGATGTATGTAGGTACCTAAACTGATAATAGAAAATGAAACAATTGAATAGCGATCAACGTGGAACAAATACTGTAATTTTTAACTTCAGTTTTGACAAGGAGTAAAAACTATGTTTGTGTAAAACTTAAAAATCTAAATATATGTAACGCAACTTCATTATAATGGAATTAATATTTGTTTTAATTATAATTTCTTTTTATGGTTAGATTAACTCGTTGGCAGTTGGCGAATATTAAGGCGAAGAAATCATAAAGTGTCACCAAGTTAGCTCTAATTACCTAGTCACATAAGCACTTACCGTCGTAGCGGAACGTGATGTTCTGCCAGTACCCCCGCTGACTTGCAGGTGAAGTTTCACAGCTTCCAGACCAGACCGCTTGGAACGATTACGTACCAGGACTGGTGAAAGATTTCCTTTGTTTTCCTTCACGCCTCTCTCTAGCTTCACCTTACTTTTTGTTTGCCGTACGCGACACTTCATTTTATCTGCTCTATATCTTCAGATACATTTTACATTGATTGATTCATCGATTCAAGTAGGTTCTTTGTCAGGAAGCCGACAAGATATGATAAAAAATCAGCTTACGTGCCGGTAAATAACCTTTGTCAAAGAGATCACGTAAAGCCTTGAACTATACTCACTAAATTTGTTTATATAAAATATTACACTAACAATGTAAGTAACGAAGTAGAGATTACCAGCAACGTGTGCTAGCAGTCCCGAACACAACGCGCATTTACGGAACACACTGGGGATGTCATCACTCCGATCTTAATTAAAAAGATTGACAAGAATATAACAATTAAAAAATACATTCAAATACTTTATTTATGTTAATAGCAGGACAGCTTATGTGCTCACAGACAGTAAATGACAATTTTAACACTTTTAAATTATTGTTTTAATACACTTTTCATGTAACTTCTTTGTTTCATTAACCTTGAAATTATTTTTAAAATACTTTGAGTCGAAATAATTGAACGTCTTTCTTTTATAAATTATTCAATATCGATGGTAGGTAATTTAATTTCCTAGGCTTGGTAATAATTATAATATTGCGTTAATTATTTAAACCATTACATTAATTACTTGCTTTAATGAAAATTACTAACATATTTGGATACAACAAAAACCACTGTTAAGTTGAAATGAATGAGACAGCAGATAGTTGTCACTTAGATTCTTATTTATTTATTTATTATGTTGTTTCGCCTTTTTCTCGATGGGGTAGGCAGACATCACGAATCCCCTCTTGCTACGGTCCTGACATACATCTCGCTTCATTCGCTTTCATGATATCTTTGTCCCTTCTCTAGTACCTCCGATTTGGTCCAGGTATGCCAACAAGGCCTACTCAACCCGACTTCATCATCCACGGTTGCCATGTATATTCTACTTGTAAGCCGCTTCTCATTAATCCGTTATACATATATGGCTAAATTACCTAATTCCCTTTCGCATCCTTGTCACTACGTCTTCTTGACAGAAAGAGTATTTTATTAAGAGAGTTTAGGGCTGATTTATATTTAAATCGGTGCAATCGCATTATTAAATATAACAAAAAACGATGGATGACGTTGTAAAGGGTATACGAAAGGATAAGTGGAGATGCATGAAGGGACACTTGCGAAGAAAATGAGAAACTATAATAAGTTGATACACAAAAACTCATTTATTTCGGATAATCTATGGCACAGAAAGGAGGCCTTTATGACCTTAAAATAATGATGATTTGCACACTTGAACACGAAAACTTGTGTGTTGTGTAATATTAAAAAATAGTAATACCCGCGACCTATCTACTAACACAGGAATTTAAACAAGCTGCATTAGCCGGTCGTAAATTCTTGTGTCAGTGCGGGGTAATATGAAATACGTTTTTTTTACTTTTAATGTTTACTAATTATAAAAAAAGTTTACTTAAAATACTTCTCATATAAAGCATCAGGTGGGCCTCCTGCCCGTTTGCCTCCTGTAACAACAGTAGTTTTTTTTCATATAAATTCTTACTCACGTGCAAACCTTAGTTTTTCTTTATACTAAGCATTAATAGATCATCATGCTACTCGTACATGTTAAGCTACACATTGATACTAAACAATTCTACGAGGAACTGTAAAAGTCCATGGGATTATATAAAAAGCAGCAACTTTCAAATTGTTATTTAAGTATTGAATCCCTGATTACTACAAGTATACTTTAAACTATATTTTATTCATAACTCAATTCGTTAAATTGTTTTTTGAAATGATTTGAAAAACCCAGAGACTAGATCAATTGAAGATCGATAACAACATTGTATTTATCACGTTTCACTGATGATTGAACACATTAGAAAATTCTACTTACTTTGTGTTTATCGTTTATTATGAGTGATTATAAATAATAGAACACATTGTCAATTCCAACATAAAATTTTGTTTACTAAAACTAGTTTCTGTCCTCTCTGCGTTGAATATGCGTTAATAATAAATTAATATATAAAAATTGACATCTATCTCGATATATCCCTAACTTTCGTACCAACCACTAACTGACGTGAGGCTGATCTTAAATTAAATTATTATGATTCACAGTGCACAACTTTTTACTTTTTGTTTTTCATGTATTCTTTATTAGTTTAGTTTGTCTTTTGTTCCTGTTTAGTTTCTTTTTTTTTCTCACAGGGGTTGCCTGGAAGAGATCTCTCGAAAGCGATAAGGCCGCTAGTTGCCCTCCTTTACATTTAATTAAATTTTTATATTGTAATGCATACAATATAAAAATTAACATAATACCTATTTAAATAACATTTTTTAGATTGTCTTAAAATCTAATTTTATTTGGCGTATTGTGCACAGCGCCACCTGTACACCGCCGTGTAACTACGATGTAAACTAAGTGTGCAGTGTGCAACTTTAAAAGCGGTTTGACATTGTTTCTTAGTTTGTCATCTAGATGGCGTTTTAATAAATTTTATGACAGAACGAAAATTTAAATATTATGTTGAAGAATTTAAAACCTCATACAAATAAGGTAAGGTAGGTATACAAATACTTTTGTATTATGAAAAGCTTATGTTAGTACAGACTGGTAATACTGTCGCGTATATTGATGATGATTAATTGAAGCCCTTATTTGCTTAAAAATAATTGTATTGGTATCGAGTAACTACTATTGCATTGCATTGCGTCGTATTAATTAAATGTATAATCGTCACCCGCCCACCATTATAAATGCATCTAATTTATATTATCATATATGCCTGTGACTATTTTGAATTAAAATTGTTTACTGGCACAAAATATTATAAGTTTTATTAGATTTTACGGTAATTTTGAGTACAGTCATTGACGGTCGGTGGAGAATAATACAGATATAATTAAATGTCGATATTTTATTATCAAAACTCCGTGTTTAAGTAAAAAAGGTTTATACAAAGCTTAAAAATTTAACTTTGTTCATCTATATCATAAATTAAAAGTATAACACAATCATAGTATATAATATGTAAAGCGTAAAAAAATATTTTTCTATGAATAATGCAGAACCAGCTGCTTTCGTTAAGTTTCTTCTATTGTTAACTGGATCCTGAAAATATTAAAATTTTATATCTCATATTACGATTATGACCACAACGGCTCTCTCCATTATCGACACAGACTATTGTCAGGGCAGTAAATTTAATTTGAATAATGTAATGAAATTTCGCTATATTTGTATGCCATGGAAATTCTTTTCTGCATCCGTTTTTGACTATACCGTGGCGCTTTTCAAAAAATATCAAGTGGGCATTTTTAGTTAGGCGTAATTTACCTCGTTACCTACATTTTCAAATGGGATACAGATGCCTGGCTAATTGTAGTTAAAATGCGTATAATAACAGATAATAACAAATTTGTCCTCTTTTAGGTGAAACAGATTCTATGCTAGGAAGGGTTCCATATATGTTATATTTCAATCTAGCATTTATGTTAACATGAAATACATAAGACCTAATGAAAACTAATAGTAGTTAAGTAATTACCGAGTTCGTTACTAGTTTTACTTTCAGTTCGTATCAACCATTGTCCCAGCTTGTCAGTGAGGATAAATCCAATGGGAGTTGTAATGATAATGGCCTGTACGAGCAATCTTAGTATGTCTTCTGCGTACGACAACTCATGGGCGTGAGATCCTTGTGACATTAACACTGCGTTTATTGCTAAAGGACCAAGGACAGCCTGAAAATCCCATTAGCCATAAGTCATATTATAGGTAACATATTTTATACAGATTTAAGTTACACAGACAAAAAGTATATTTATTTAATTATTTATCAATAAGAAAGGAAACATGACAAACACATCACAAATACAAGATATGCAAAAATATAGAAGTTATAATAAATTATAGTAGTGTCCTTAGATAAGATTCTTCAACTAAAAATACAAGAAGAAAAATATAGTGTACACTCTCTATAACGTCATTTGTTTTAAGGAAACACTCTGTATATGGTAATTATTAGATAAATTTGTTTGGTCTAACACAAAACCCATACATTAATTAACTCCCTATAACAAATAAAATTCTCGGTCCCTTGAAATTGTTATAAAGAGTTTACACTGTATATCAACCATACATGTATTTAGTGAAAGGAGGCTCATACGCTTTAACCACAGTTTAATAAATATTAAAATTCATTTCTGTACATGGGCTGTTAATATGGTTGGAATTAGGGTATTATAGTATTATATTATAGTTGCCCCCCTATTATATAAAATAAAAAAAAATAAAATCAGTAGAAGAAATAAATAATATAACTTTGTTTATTTATAATTAATTGCCCAAAATTAAGTTAAATGTCTCAACCATAAAAGTGTACTTTATAGCACTTAGTTCAGAGTAACCGCTTTTACTAAGAAAAAGGTAAATGAGGGTAAAAGCGTATTGGTGTGAAAATGGCTGGGAAACAAATCGGCGACACTGGTTCTTAGCTGTTACAAAAGTTATCCATATTTATCTATTCTTTGCAGTTTCGCCCTTTTAACTCGAAGGCTCGTTAAATGGAAATATCAATAACTAAAATAATTTCTTGATTCGTACCATTAGCATCTGAGATAAGGGCATTTAACCAAAAATGCCTTTATAATATAAGTATGACTTGCCTTTTAATATTTTGATTTACAAATATTGAAAAATATTACCTCTACAACAGACTTGGGTACCCAAGTACAACAAACAAACAGCTTTTCCTTCAATTTAAGATTCCTGCACATGAGAAATGCTACAACCAGTCTAATGGTTAGGCACACAAACAAGATTCCTAATCCTACGAGCATCGTATTTGCTATATCTCCGTGAATCTGAAATAAATAAATACATCATCTACTACATTACTGGTCATTGAATTACAATGGGGAATCTTACTTTTTTAACTAGATTTTTAGAATTAAATTAAATCAAGTGAACTTGTTGTATTTTAAATATCTTTTATTGTATATTTTGTATATCACAAATAT